GAATTGAAATTAAAATTCTGAATCCGTCCACTTGGTCGCTCTATATCTTTTAGTTGAACATGTGTTATGATTCGGAAATTGCTTTGAGCTATGGACGCTAACGATACACGGATATCCACTGTCAGCCACCAACGTTCAAAAAAGTCCTAGTTGATTCCCAACCCAACTTATTAATGAAGAAGACACGATGGACGCGTAGAAAGGTGCATTCGCCTCGAAAGATCGAAGACCGAAAACAGGAAAATATATCTAATATGTAGATAGTTCTCTGTTGAAAATAATCCTACTGATTGGTTGAGCCACCATCTGTCTATCTAACTACGGAAGTGATAAAGTACATTTTCATTAGTCCCTCTCCAGATTAGTCTTCTCTTCTCTACCCCCCCCCCCCAATAACGTGCAACTTCGACACTTAACTTAAATGTGAGTCAAAATATTGATCAATATGTTGAGCACATAGTACGTATAATCATTTAGATGTAGAGTTGACATATTTCTTATTGGTTATCTAGTACAACTTGTTTCAAAGACTGAATTAATATTAATGATAGATAGTGGCTAGCAGTGGAATTTGGGATGCGCACTTCGTCCTATTTGGAACTCGTCAGCTAGATGTACCTGCTTCCCAGTGAGTGGTGTTGTTCCCACCGGGGTTCGGACTCGGAAGAGATCGCTTCAAACGCCAGCGCGTTATTCACTACACCACCGAGCCTCGATAGCCACTTCTTGTGCGACGGGTAGTTTTAGTAATAAAAAGTTATATTCAAACGCCCAATGAAGATCTCCCACAAAGTCTTCCAAAACCATGTGATATTTGGATGCGTCCTATTGGTTAATCTCATACTAAGTTTAGTGTTTGTTAACTTTGTACTCTTGTAAGACATAAATGTATATATTAATTGTTATTGAAATATGCCAAATGTGATTGTGGTCGACTGGATCATGCAGAAAACCGTGAGGAGCAAGAAGATGGACATACGCTGTTTCACGGATGAAATGACCCTACAGGATTTGGATTCCACCCATGATGATTTATGTCCAATGTCTTGTCGCACAAACTCGAAGATCAACAGGAAAAATCCAACAAGTTGACAAAAGAGGCGAGGTGGCAAAGACGGGACTTCCTCCAGGTGAACACAGAGAAGACAGACGTGATGAAGATACCCAACCAACACCACCACCAACAACAACAACAACAACAGGCACTAATCACCATCAACAGGAGAAATCTAAAGGAAGTAGTTTCTTTCACCCACCTACATAGGCAGCATCATTTCAACTACAGGCGGTGGTGACACAGACGAGGATGTGAAAACCAGAGTCGGAAAGACAGCAAGACAGGCTTTCACTAATTTGAAATCAGTGTGGAGATCTACTGCACTCAACACAAAGAGTGAACAATATCCGGATTTTCAACAACAACTTCAAGTCAGTACTCCTATATGGTTCAGAAACTTGGCACGTCACGAAAAGCATTTCCAACAAACTACAGACATTCATCAACAACTGCCACCTACACTGGCTCGTTACTCAAGATGAGATCGGATGACCAGGATAATACGAATAAGCAACAAGGAATTCAGGCTGACTGGCTGAAAACGAACCAACCAAGAACCTATCGCTCAAAAAATATGCAGAGGAAAGGGGAGATGGATTGGATTAGTCATACACTGAGTAAGCCGATTGGCGACATCACGTGCCAGGCCAGTCACTCGAGTGGAACCCAGATGGGAAACGACGAGTTGAGCGTCCAAACTGAGGGTGACATGGAGGAGATTGTGTGAGGAAGAAAAGAGAGCTTTTGGGCTGTCGTGGAGCCAGGTTGAAAAGATTGCAGAGAAGAGAGTGTAATGGAGACGTGCTACTGAAACCTTGTATTCCACTAGAAACCCAAGGCACAAATAATAATAATGATAAAAATTCTTTTCACATCCTGTGCTGACCCATACATACACAAGTTGCAGATTTCTTCAGTTTTAGATTCTAGTTGCATTGTATGCGATGGTCTACTCGTATTTGTTATAGCTTTGCTTAGGTGTACTACCTAAAGCCTAAAAAACCCAAATACTGACTTTACACGTGTTTAGTCTTGTATATATTTGCTACATCATGTATACACAATTCACTCCCACAACAGAACACTAAGTCCAATGCTTACCGTTTGTATGTGTATGAATCATTTGTATATGTACAACTAAATTATATGATCACACAATGCACCGTAATTCCATAAAGTAGATTTCACTCATAAGGCAATTGTTCCAGAACTACAAGTCATACTGAAATGGCTGAGGAGTTAATCAAAAGCTCTTGAAATGGGCTATACAAAAGTATTATCAATTAAGTCATAAGTGAAATAATTTCTAATATATAATATGACTGATAAGGCTTATTCAAGATTCCTATTCTGCACTTTTCAGCCGATACAACAGAGTCAGTGAAATCGCATGATTCAGCTAACTACTACTAGAAGTAGTATATGTTGACAGGCGGCTGAAATCATAGGGAATTACCAGCAATGGGTAAAGATTCTGCCCAGAGAAATGCGAAAGACAATGTGGGGATACTAAGAACAAATCAAAATAGAAGATGAAGAGGAAATGAAGCACATTATGCAAATGACTGTCTTAGTGCAAGGTGTATAGTACCTGATGTCTACTGTACAAGGTGTCAACAATAAACATTCCTTTCCCTTCTTCGTCTCCGTCTTTTCGTTTTCTACACTATGACTATTACTTTAAAAACTTCGTGAATATCTCGGTTAGTGAAGTAAACAGTGATGTATTTTCACAGTCAAGTATCACCATATCATATGTAGAACAGTAAGATAAATTTTTTGAGCTCGGAGGAAACGAAAAGGTCACCCTTACTCGATCAAATGGTAAATATCGCTTGTATACGATACATTCAACGACTGGAAAACATCGATGGGGAAGGATGCACACCACTTTCATGACCCTGTGCGCTGGCACCGAGTAAGAGTCAATACACCCATTTCTGAGATATCATGAGTTAGTGTCCAACTCCACATGTGTTTTTTATAGTCAGCTTAGGAGAAAGCTACAGGTGATCAGGAAAACATATATGATATCGAACCACAACAGATAGATAAAATCTATATAGAACACAAGTGTATCGGTTCAAGTTGCTAGACTTCACAGCATCGGCATTCAAAGAACAAGTGGATAAAAAAAGACTCATATGATGAAAGTAGACAATGATGTGTGCAAGGAAAAGTATTTTAAAAATGACACCTAGCCAAAACAGTTAAGCTTCAGATGTCAAAGAGTGAATCCATCAGCCATGTCACTTAGAGTCTTCAAACATTATATCCTGTGATCTTGAGGACGCCAACTAGGCAATCAATTCATGAAGTGACTGACTGTTGATATGAACCATATAAGGAAGTGTATGCTACCTATGTACCATGGTCAAGATGTTAGTAATCAGTCATCGGAGAGTTTTCAGGGTTATGGCTCAAAACTGGTCACAATATTTAACATGTATCCACTCATTATCTTCCAGAAAATCTCGAATATCTTGTTAACCTTCATAATGTTTCCCATATATGTACATTTCTATCGAGTTTTTTGTTTGCTATGTGATTAAAAGAGTACAGCAACTTACATCTATAAACTTTTGTGCAAGCCTATACATTGTTGTGCTCACCACACGTATACATCAATGAGAGTACTTCTAATGATCCTTATAGCCAGGTTTGTGACGATTTACTGATTGACTTCACGACGTGTACTCAACACGGAGTGACATCAGTTGGAGAAATATTGGAAACCTGGACAGCTGTTTCGTCCCACTAGTATGGGACTCCTCAGCAGTGCGCGCCTATGATCCGACCAGGACAGGAGGAAATATGAACCACTAAATCCAGACCCGGTAGCTCAATAGTAACTTGGGGGCCACAGAACCTGAAAGTGCTGGGCTCGATCTCTGGCAGTGATAGGTGTGCACCGCTGAGGAGTCCCATTCTAGGATGAAACAGTTGTCCAATGCCCCCAGGTTTCCAATGTTTCTGTGTGTCCATGATGAATACCAACTTGAAAAGGAGATTTTTCGGTAGAGGCAGTTATTAATCATCGAAGCAAGAAAACCAACTAGTCATTATTACGATTCCTATACGCAATCCTACGGTTGACTTCAATGTAAGCAGTAATTTAAGTAATAATGTATCAACTTCTCTATCAAAATACAACAAACCTTTGGCTGATAACAACCAATTTAACGTCACCATTAAACTATACATTACACTGTAATGATGCAATGGTGGCTAACGGTGGAATCAAAGATGAACATTTCGTCCTATTTAGGACTCATCAGTTGGAGGTATCTGCCTCCTAGTGAGTGATATATTTCCAACCAAAACTCGGACCTAGGTAAAACGTACACACTGAATATGAATAGACCTACAGGTATTCATTGTGTTTATTTTCTTGACCAAAAAAAAAGAAGTAAATAAGTAAATAGAGGCAAGTAAACAGTAAAATATGGTAATAAAATTCAGTAAAACAAATTATTTCTTCTGATTATACCAACAAAGTAAATGGAAGAAAAAGAGTAAAGGCACAAAAGAATCAATTATTAACCACAAAAATTATCATTTTATATGAAGAGAAAAAAAAATCACTGGATGAATAAATTATCTTAAGAAAAGGGTATAAACTGATAAATACTCACTCATTTATCTCCTACAATAATGACCTTCTTATCGTTATTAGTATTAGAAAAGAGACCAGTTAATTAATCATATAATCATAATCATCATTTTCAAGGTCATTGTTTTAAGAATTAATACAAAACACCTTTAAAAATATACACAAGTATACTCAAAGATTTCAAGTTATTGCGGGATAAATAAATAAATAAAATTGACTAACAGTATTAATAATAATAATAATAATAATAATAACAATAATTATAATAATAGTAATAATGATAATAGGATAATCAAATAAATAAATAAAAACAGTACAAATTATATAAAATAAAAACAAAAGAAATCGAAAAAAAAAACAAATAAAATGACACTGTTGTAACTAACCTCCTTGCTTTGGAAGTTAACTGAGATTCACCAGGTTAGTTAGTCAGTCAGTCAGTTAGTGAGATAGATATACACAAATTAGAAAATAATCGCTGATAAGAAATATGGCAGCAGAAAGAGAATCATATAAATAAAATGAGATAGGATAGTAGATCATACATTCTTCATTTCCCTTCTTCGTATCAATTTTTCTTTCTTCCAATATTATATATTTATATATACACAGATTAGTAATTGAATATTTCAAGATTGTGTTTGACTGTTTACTCTTGTGTCTTTTTTGATGATGATGACGATGAAATAATTTTACCATCAGCTAGTTAGTAATAATGTCATATGAAGAAAATTAAGATTAACCACCTTTACAACATTTTAATTTCGGTTTTGTTTTAAGTCCAGAAATAGGCGTCAATTGTACAACTGTTTGTTGAGCTTCTTGTTGCTTTTGTATAGCATTCAATCGTAGACGAAGTGCTTCTCTTGTAATGATATCAAACATCTGAAAGATAAAAAAATTTTATGTTTATAATAATTTCAGTTGAAATGTAAATTGACTTTAAAGGTTACCCTAGTGCAACTGATAGAACAACCAATCATATTTCTTTATTCTATGAAAAATTGTCTTCTTAGTCAAAATATCGCAACCTGATTGGTTACCTTGGTAGTTGTTAGGGTGGCTTTTAAAATCACCCTGAAAAGTAAGAATAACTTTTTCAGTCTATAGCTTATTCTATTCATATTCATATATGGAAATGATATGAATATGTACAGTATGATGATGTTGAAGAAGATACCTTGTCTGCGAGGAATGGAATAAGTCCGCTTATCCCCCCGGTAGAATTTCCTACTCAGTAAACACTGATACGTTGTTGAATGAACACAGCTGAGATGAGGGAGGTGTACCGGTTTTAATTGGTTGTAATGACTATCCTAGATGCCAAGTGATCATCTGTAGACTATCTCATACGACTCTTTTCACGGAGAAAGTTATTCAAACTGCTTTGGTAGAGCTATTAGGCGATATAACTATGCATGTTTATAGACTACTGAGAGGGCACGTGGGTAATTTCTGAATGGATATCGATTGTTTTGTGATTTCCGATGTTCAGCTCTCAGCTTCTCAACTTTCCTCATCTTCAAATATACCAAGTTGCTTGGTTAACAACAATACCAGACTGAACTTCGAATAGAACTCAGCCAGTGAAATTGTACTCTGAGTTATTCTGGTTAATGCTTTACCTAACTGTTAGTTTGATTGAAAGCAAGCGGCAGGAAGCCCTGGTTGGACCTAGGTTTTGTGCTTGTTGGCACTCATCAACAATGCGTATCTGTAATCTGAACGGAGCTGATATCTCACCTGAGATTCGAACCCGCATCACTCAGTGTTGTCATCAGCGACATCACCATTGAGCTATATAGGGCCGCGATTACCCTACTGTAGGGTTCGAATCCCAGGCAGGACATAAGTTCCATCGAGGTTGCAGATATGCCTTACTGACGATTCCCTCCAACCAATTAGCATCTACTAATGTGCACCGCAGTGCTGAGTCTCCTAGCTTAGTGGCAACATTGCAAATACGATCGACTCACAACTGTTTACTCATGTTTGACAGCATGTTTGGACTGAAAACCTGACGATACAGTTTAGATGATTATCTCTAAAACTTGTCAAACTATATTGTCTTCTTTTAGAAGGACCGTTTTAGCGCTAATGAAACATTTGTACACAAGATAATATCTCAGTATATCAATCAAAAATTGAGAAATATCAAACTGAAATAATTTTGAACTACACTTACGAATTCATATTTGCCCGTGAAACTAGGCACACAATTAAGAATAGACAGATGGATACCTATCAAGTCTGATGAACATACCGTCAAAGAATACACGACGAAATGGGATCATACAATCAATGGTCATTAAAATCGTTCAGCATTCAATTAACGCAAGATACAGTGTAGACAGCTAGAGTTTTATAGGGCATAAAGTGAAATCAAGTCATTATCAAAATGGGACATAAAATTACTGCATAGCTGTTCCGTTTGTCCCACCAGCACATCAGATACAATACACAAAGACCAAAGACAGAGTGAAACAATGTAATCAAAAGTTGTAAAGTTATAAGACAGGAAGAAGGGATAAAACAATGAAGAAATTCGACACGGCAATTAGATTGAAGATAATGTGTAAATGCATCTGTGCCACAAAGATCGATTCTGAACCAAACCACCTAGAGTCTTTAACCACCGATAACATTTGTCATACGTATCCCAACCTCGAGGTTATCATTACTCTCCACCACTATATGGGTCAAACTAAAAGTTGGTGACTTCATGAACTGATGTCAGAATCTAGTTTAGTTGTATCTAACTTCTTCCAGCCTAATACTATTCCAGATAACATCACGCATCAGAGTAGACAGTGACTCAGGTTTTATTTCAATCAAAATCGAGTTGAAATCCACTCAACAATCGATCAATCAAAAAAATCATTATCAACATAGGACCAGGCATTACTGCGTAACGGTCCGACTCGCCACACCTCACGTCAGTTCATCAAGTAGAAAGGTAGTCAGGTGAAGGATGAAGATAAGTGAATGCAGTCAAAAGAAATATAAAGTACGAAAAGAAAAGAAACAGAAGTGACAAAATGGTGAGATTCGGTATAGCGTTGTTAAGATGAGGATAATGTGTGTATACATCTGCGCCACTCACATCGGCTCTGAGCCATATCACCTAGAGTCTCCAACCACTGGTTCCTCTTGTCCCGCGGACCCCAACCACCTAGTCTGCATCACCCCACATGGCTTAAACCAACAGTGAGAGACTTCATACATTGGTGCCATGTTTTAGTCTGGCCACCTCGAGCCTTTTTCCAGCCTGGACCCACCTCAGCCAACATTGTGTGACGAGGCAATCGGTGACTAGGCATACGTAGTACGTGTCCCAACCATCTCAGTCGATGAAGGTTCATAACCTCGTCAACTGACTTACCTCTTCTCCCTAAAACTCTACACCTGACTTCTGGATTATTCACGTGGTGACACCATGGAATACGTCCTATACTACGAAGGCAATGGTGGTCAAACACCTGAAGCCTTTTCATATCTTCCACTTTCAATGGCCATGTTTCACAGCCATACAGTAGAACAGACCGGACTGGTGTGCAGTACACGCGACCCTTAATAGACAAACGAGTATCACGGCGGCGCCATAGGTGGCGCAAATTGGCAAAAGCCAATCGAGCCTTTTGTATCCGTGCAGAGATCCCATCGGCAACTAACCCACCAGGGTTGATGCTACTTCCCAGGTAAGTGAAGTGGTAAACAATCGCGTACACATTCGTGTCGTCAGGATTTAGCCACACCTATTGTTGAAGCGCTAATGAGATAGTGATACTACCTGGTTGCACAAACCCCAGCAGAGATGAAACGGTGTTTGATACGTGATCAATTGGTGGAAAATCACTACCTCTGAATATAAAAAAAGTCAGTTAATGTTTATTAGCATTCAAGAGTCTTCTTTTTGACCCGACTGCATCACTCTTTTTTTGGTATTCTTGATCATCTGAACAACTCTTTGATGTTTGACGTTTCGCTTTTCTATCATTCACCTTGCATGACTACTTTCATCTAACAACTCTATGTAAGCAATTCTATGGTCAACGGTGTATTTTAGGCATGATGGGAATCTTCATAACATAAACAAAAGAGAATTAGTAGTTTGTGCATATTTAACATATGACCACAATTCAATGATGTACATACTTTTTTTATTTTTAGCTGAATCTGAAACTAGTTGGAAGAGATGAATATTTAATTTATAATACAATGGCAAGAGAATGGAGGATAATTGCTCTAGGTGACTAATAACCGTCAAAGATAACGTAGGTTTATAATCTAAAAAGCTGTTAGAAGGGATACAGAATTGAAACTAGTGGTTACCACACTACAGTAATAAAGACTTTCCTAAAGCATAGTCATTGATTCTTCAATTATCTCAACTTTATTTCCCTATGAATTTTTATACTACTCTTAAATAGTTTTATACTGGGTAGATGATTGAAGGTGAAATGAAAATCTGGACTGCCGCCGGATTAGAACCAGCGGTCACCGGGTTTCCAACACGATGATTTGCCAACTGAGCTATGAGATTCGACTGTTCATCAGATTTTTATTTCACTTAAATCATAAGGTGGATTTTGCTCGACTACCATGTGAATTCGTGACGCCTTACTGCCGTTTAATCGTATTCACATTGGCTGCCTAGTCAGGACTTCTTATCCTAATCCAAATCGAACTAAATTAGAGAGGGGGAGCATCATACTGATTATCATTTTGGCTGAGAAGGAGCCGTGTTTCAGTAGACTATTTATACTAGACGATGATCGAAGGTGAAATGAGAATTTGGACATCGGCCGGAAACATTCAGTGACAGTGTTGTACAGTGTTTTTCTGTTGAAATTCATGTAAGTAAAAATCATCTTGCATACTTCATTCACGAAACCTACACCTCCCCATGATGCGATTCTTTAGTCGGTTTGGAATAGAGGTACGACTTTAGCAGTTTTACAGAGGATGGGTATATCAAAGCATTGCATAAATCCATAGAGCCAGGTGAATCACGACCGATACTGTAGAATACTTCATACGAATTAGTGATATATGTATCGGTGGTTGAAAATCTGGAAGTTGATTACAGATTAGTAAAATACTTTTTTGAAATTCCTCAAGATTTAAAAAAAAACAAATTCTAAACCTATAGACTCCGGTATCGTTGCATGTTGTTTCTAACTGCCTTTCTCTTTTCTTTTCAGTCGACAGCGTCGACTGAGAAGTAATTTGGCAGGCAGCTGCTCCAACACTACGGAGTGGCACAAACAATTATCAACCTCATTCATTAGCTATATGAAGACGCCATGTGCCAAGTGATCCACAATGGAAAGCTCAGCGAAGCCTTTGAAGTGAAGACAGGAGTAAGACAAGACTGCCTACTATCACCCATGATCTTCTTGATTGTGGTGGACTGGATCATGCAGAAAACCGTGAGGAGTAAGGAGATGGACATACGCTGTTTCACGGATGAAATGACCCTACAGGATTTGGATTCCACCCATGATGATTTATGTCCAATGTCTCGTCGCACAAACTCGAAGATCAACAGGAAAAATCCAACAAGTTGACAAAAGAGGCGAGGTGGCAAAGACGGGACTTCCTCCAGGTGAACATAGAGAAGACAGACGTGATGAAGATACCCAACCAACACCACCACCAACAACAACAGGCACTAATCACCATCAACAGGAGAAATCTAAAGGAAGTAGTTTCTTTCACCCACCTACCTAGGCAGCATCATTTCAACTACAGGCAGTGGTGGCACAGACGAGGATGTGAAAACCAGAGTCGGAAAGACAGCAAGACAAGCCTTCATTAACCTGGAACCATTATGGAGATCTACTGCACTCAGCACAAAGGGTGAACAACATCCGGATTTTCAACAACAACTTCAAGTCAGTACTCCTATATGGTTCAGAAACTTGGCACGTCACGAAAAGCATTTCCAACAAACTACAGACATTCATCAACAACTGCCACCTACACTGGCTCGTTACTCAAGATGAGATCGGATGACCAGGATAATACGAATAAGCAACAAGGAACTCTGGCTGACTGACTGAAAACGAACCAACCAAGAACCTATCGCTCAAAAAATATGCAGAGGAAAGGGGAGATGGATTGGATTAGTCATGCACTGAGTAAGCCGATTGGCGACATCACGTGCCAGGCCAGTCACTCGAGTGGAACCCAGATGGGAAACGACGAGTTGAGCGTCCAAGCCGAGGGTGACATGGAGGAGATTGTGTGAGGAAGACATGAAAGCTTCTGGGCAGTTGTGATGCCAGGTCTAAAAGACTGCAGAGAACAGAGTGCAATAGAGGCGTGCTACTGTTCCACTAAGAACCCAAGGAAAAAATAAATAAATAATAATAATAATGTAACAGTAAAAGATAACCATGAAATGAAAAACTACTTCATCAAGTCCAGCATTGTCCTAGCCAGTTATTAGGAACGATTAGTGATTGTTTCACTAGTATTTTATAACGTCTTAGAAAGTAATTTGACACCTAAACGCTAAACAATACTGACTTCAAGTATGCGGCTACACATATCTCTTGTCGTATTCTGATGAGTTGAGAAGTGTTATGAATGATGATTCAATCGGTACATCACTGAAATACACTATTTTAGGAAGAAAATCGATGAGTTGTAATCCTATCTCAAAAGTCTAAAATTTCGCAAAGGTAAAAAGTCATCGGATATCCTTGACTTAAAGAAGCTACTGTTTGAGGATGTTAGGGACCTACTGAGGAGAAGGAAGCGTTGTATATCCTTTTTTTTACAATTGAACAATAAATAACTGATCTTTTTCCTCAAAACTTTAATGTTTTTTTAAAATCTTTCCCAAAAGGTTAACATTTTTGAAAACTGATAGTGGTTAGCAGTGGTACCCAGCAAGTACGTTTCTTCCTATTTGGGACTCGTCAGCTGGATAACACTTGCCCCCCAGTGGCCGATGTTCCGATTAACGCGTGTCCTGCATCCCACTGCTAGCCACTATCTATTATTAATGTAAAAGTGAAACACAGGTAATATTGAGGCATCCATATATGAGCCCACACGCCAATAGAGACTGATCAATTCCGTCCAATCGATGACAGGATGATAAAAGTAACAACATAACAACAGCTTATTCTTTCAAGAAAATTATCCATACCCTTTACCGGTTTACATATGGGATCAACACTTGACTCGTAAGTCTCAATCATACCTTTGTTCAAAAGTTTGTTCTGATGACAGCTGTACAACAACTGAACTGAATTCCCAGCTGAAGAGAAGAAACGGTAGCATGATAATCAACGTATCCTAAAGGTGTGTACCATGATTTCTGTCCTTCAGGCTGTATTTTGGTGTCTACTCACCACTCAAAGCCAGTATTCATAGTAATCTGACTTATTACCACCTTACTTATGCAGCTATTTACAAGGAAAAAATGTGAAGTAAGCCTATGAATAAGCGAAAACATTTGAAAAGCATTTTATACTTTTCAGGGCATCATTGCTTACTAGCTTAAATAGGTGTTTGGGATGCGTTTATCGCCATCCAAATGCACATCGTTGCTCCAGGACTGGTCTTCAATAGTGCTCTGGTTAAAAAGAGAGTGAAGTGGTTCAGTGAGTTGAACACCTCACTTACCCGAGAAGTCGGATTAGACCTGATGGCTCAATGGCCGGCGAAATCTCTGTAAGGATACAAAAGGCTCGGTTGGCTTTTGAAAACTTACCTCATGTGTGGCACCGTCATGATATCCAATCGTTTGTTAAGGGCTGAGTGTACTGTGCTACAGTTCGGCTGTGAAACATGAGTATTAAAGATAAAAGATATGAGGTTTCACGTGTTTGACCACCATTCTCTTCATAGCATAAACCGTGTTTCGTGGCGTCACTACATGAGTAAGGTAGAAGTCAGACGTAGAGTTTTAGGCACGAGAGATAAGACAGTTGATGCTGTTATGAACCTTTATCGGCTGAAATGGATGAAATATGTTACATATGTTTAGCTCCTGTTTGCCTCGTCACATAATGTTGGCCGAAATAGGTTCAGGCTGGAAAAAGGCTCAGGATGGCCAGACTAAAACATGGCATCAATGCATGAAGTCCCCGACTGTCAGTCTGAGCCTTGTAGGGCGGTGCAGCCTAGTCGATTGGGGTTCATCGGATAAGAGAAATCAGTGGTTGGAGACTCTAGGTGATATGGCTCAGAACAGGGGTCCGTGGCACAGGTGTATAAACACATTATCCTCATCTTAACCTCTATACTGAATTCAGCATTTCCTCATTCCTCCTTCCTCTCTTTTACTACTTTCACTCCCTTTGACCGATTTTACTTTGTTTCTTCATCTTCCATTTCATTGCCTTGTTACTTGATGTGCTGATATGAAGTGTAACAACTTGGATCGTTACCCAGTAATGCCTGATCCTATGTTGATCTTGGTGATGATGATGAGCTTAAACAGAGGGCCACAAGTTAGGAACCCCGTAACATATATATCAGTCCTTACATGACAGAGTGGATGAACAGACTTTTGCCATTCAACTGCATTGTCATTACTCATAATAGTAGTAGTAGTGATAGTTTTTTCTAACCAACTTAGTTTGTTCGTAAAGTATGAATTGGGTTCACCACAAACACTGAATTGTCATGTGAGTAATCGATTAAACACCTAGACAATAATGAATAGTTCCAACAAGACAAAGAAAAATATATTAAGACCGGTGGGGGAAAAGCCTGATTGTCGTGAGGACAGTTACTCAACGATGACACTGGATGGCGGTTGCGTTATATCGTGAGCTAACAAAGTTGGAAATATAAACCATTGGATTTTGACCCAGTGGCTCAATGGCAACGTGCTGGCCACGGAACCTGAAGGTCACGGGTTCGATCCGTGGCGGGGTCGTGGGCGCGCACTGCTGAGGAGTCCCATACTAGGACAAAAAACAGCTGTCCAGTGCTCCCAGGTTTCCTTTGTTCTTCCAACTGGTGTCAGTCTATGATGAATAACAACTTGAAATATTAAGAACGACTAAAAAATTGATTTCAACGTTGTATAGAACCTTTTAATGGAAATATATATAAAAATCAATAAATCATTGTACCTGATCAACATTTTCATCATTTTTAGCTGATGTTTCAATGAAAAAACATGAGCATTTAGCTGCTAAACGTTGAGCATCATATGTGGCCACAGTCTTCAATTCTTCACTTTCATTTTTGTTACCAACTATCAAGGAAAAAGAAAAAAGAAAAAACTAGAAAATCTATATGATTACAAAGTGAAACTTCATTTTAACAATAAATCCAATCGGAATGTATCGATTACAATCTTGATCAGATGACTGATAAGCATAAAAAGCATCTAAAATAGTTGAAATCAATTATGAAACTAATAATAACTTAGAGTACTTTTATGGTATTTCTTTTCTCTTAAATTCAGCAACCTTGTGCACACATCTGTGCAGTAGGCAATGAGCCACACCTAATATATGAGGGCTAATGATACTACCTGGCTGCCTATATGTTGGTAATTGGAGTAGGGTTCGAACTCATGACCGACTGGTTGATAGTCATCTTCCTAAACCCACTGAGCCATAGTTTTAACTATAGTAGAGTGTAATTCGATATTAGATTGGTATACTTGATATAGTACAAAGTGATATAGTGTTATCTGTTCAAATGGCTTTCATCAACTTAAACCATTTGTGGTGTCAACGTCATATCCGATTGTCTATTACGGGCCGAATGTACTGACCTGCAGGTGTTTAGTGGAATCACCATGTGAGTAATGAAGTCAGGCGAAAAGTATAAAGCAAGAAAGGCAAGTGAATTTATGAAGTTGTGAACCTCCATAAACTAAGATGGCTTGGATATATGCTATGCATATCGAGTCACCACCTAACTCACGTCCCATCCTGGGGGAAGTTGAACTAAGTTGGGAGAGGGCTCAGGGTGGCCAGAACAAGACCAGGCACCAGTCAATGCAGTCTCTAAGTCTTGATCATACCTGTATTGGGATATGTAGACTACCTGGTTGGAGTCCCCGAGACGAAGAGAACCAGTAGCTGTGGGCTCTTGGTGATATGGCTGAAAAGCCTGAATATTTGCTCTAACCATTGTCTTCAAATTGTCTATTCTTTCACACAACTTTGTGTACTTTGATGTAATTTTTTTTCTAACCACTTGGTTATACTACTGTGAAGTGTGGCAACTTGAGCCAATGCACTTACGTGAGAAGTTCTACGTTAACTTCGTCTGTCTGTCTGTTTGAACTGTAGTTAGCTCTGTCCTACCACATAGCTGTGAAATATGGTCATTACCGGTAGAGGGTACGAAAAGGCTTCAGGCGTTCGAACACCGTTGCTTTCGTAGCATACAATGTGTGTAGCAGTGTCACTATGTTGATAACGTAGAAGTCAGGTGTAGTTTTAAGGAGGAGAAAGACAATCCATGAGGTTGCCAATCTTCATCAACTTAATTGACTGGAATATGTGTTACAAAGGTTCAGGTTGAGAAGATGATCAAATCATGAAATCTCTGATTGTTGATCTGCGCTGTGTAGGGATCCCGTTTGGGGTCTGCGTGACAGCACAAATCGTTGGCCAGAGACTGAGTGATATGGCTTAGAATTGATCTGAGTGACACAGATGCATCCACAGATTATCTTTATCTTGATTGCTATACCTAATTTGATTATCGCTTTATTCTTTCTTGTTCACTTTTCACGACTTTCTACCACTTTCGATTACGTTCTTACTCATTTCTCCATCTTTCCTCTTAGTATCTTCCAGTTTGATGTCATTATATATGATATGGCAACTTGGAGTGTTGCGCCAAGTCCCAAGTTGATGCTGACTGACGTAGTAATACATTATGAATAAGAACATCGTAAAAGGAGAGACTGAACCTACTTCTTCTATACACAAAGATTCGGTTTGAATCGATGAGTCGCCAGTGTTTCCACAATGAATAAGATGCGAAGTCTTACTCCTTTTGAACTGTTTTCTTTGACTTTTTAGATCATCTCGAAGGGAGACTGTGATGGAGCCAATTAACAATAATTGAATATGTGATTAAGAATCGAACCAGTGGTTGACTTGCATTTTTCAGAGTAATGCTCATATATGCGCTTGGAAAGTGTGCACTTTGCACGGTCAAAATGAATAGCTTCACAGGAGATGTACGCTGAAGAAGCACGTTCGATCTCCCATTCTACCATGTTCTTATTATTAAGGTATTATTACACAATTTTCTTGCCTTTAAAATAATCGTTCTAGTCAACTCTTTATCATTTCAGTAATGAAGTGACCGATTCACTAACAGTAGACCATTATTTATTTCCAATATTTATAGATATGATTGTATGGCATAAGTCAATGAATTTATCGAACAGAAGAAAGTTGTATTCGCTGTTTTACCTAAATGGGTATCTTTTGTCATTTCAAGAAGCAAAATACTTCAGACGCTGTGTCTAGACAGAAAGGTTAAAGATACGGACAAGGGTGAATCGATCACATGTTCACCCTTCGGTAGGTTCTGGAACGTAGGCATAATACTTATCAGCCCCCTCTACAACTACCATATTCTCAACCCGAATGTATTATTCGACTCTTTCAACTGAAAGGTGTTGTAATAGTGTGTGACAGTTAAGAAAATTCACACCAGTCAAATACAAGATGATGCTTCAAGGTGGATCTACACCAACTTCTAGTTTAAGCATAGGACAGTGGAAAGGTGCGTTAAGCACTTCATTTACTTGGGGATTCGCATCAACCGAATAAGTTGGATTCTAACGAAATCCTAGCTGGAATATAAAATGCCTATTCAGCATTTAACACCTTGCGTCACCTCTGGTACCGATGAGCTAGCCAACTACGTATTAGTGGAATATGCTGAGATAAGAGGACTCTGAAAGCAGACATACTGAGACTAAAGCCTTTTGATCACAGGTGTCGTTGTGCTATTTCTCAGGTATAGTGGAACCACTCCATGAGCAACGGCGAAGTTAAGCAACGGGTACGAGGCAAGGAAAAAATCCAATCGATAAGGTTGTAAACCTTCACTGACTGAGGTGTCTTGGACAGATGTTGTGCATGCCAACCCACCGCCGACCCTGGCGAGCAATGTTAACTGAAGAAGAATTCGGTTGGAAAAAAGCTCAGCGTTTTCAGAAAAAGATATGATACCAGCCCAAGAAGCTTTCGACTGCTGGTCTAAACCGTTTAGGGAGGTGTAGAATATCTGACTGAGGTCCTCGAAATTATACTAAGGAATGATTTGAGAATCTTGGTGATATGACTGAAAACCAGTCTACCTTAATATTACTCTTTTGCCATCCACTTGCTTTTGAGTACTTCTGTGTAGTAGGATAACTTGGACCAACGCACTTGTGTCAGGTTGTTTGATGATATCTGTTTGACTCATTAATGTAAGCATAGAATCCTGGCAGTGTGGTAAAGTGTACTTCTATGTTACATCAATCTATCTGATATAACAGCGATACAGCATTTACTAGATGACGTTTCGTGCATAATTTATTGTGCCTGTCATCCCGCATAGCAGCTTATGTCGTCGAATGGTTCATATAATCAAGTACCCATTGTAAGACCACAAGGTTTAAATCCTAATGTCTCTCTTCCTTAGTTCACAAAATTGCACCTTTCACTTAACTGTTTCAGAACAAATGGAATACACATGAGACGGTTAATTGTACTAGCTGACAAAACTGATACATAGCAAAGTATTTTTCAACCATAGACCATTGAACAAAGTGTAAAAGTGAATTTTATTTCATTAGAGTTCTGGGAAACAGCTACAGGGCAAGGGAATGCTAAGATAGGCAGTATAAACGATAATTCGTTCGTTTTAACGGCGATAAACTAAAAGATTATGTTCTCCTAAGAGAAACTTAGTCACTGATTATCCCCATGCTTTATTTCAACCATAACTTATTCCAGGACGTGAAAATAAAAGACCAAGAAACAACTTGTAGATGTTACTTGCCCAATGGACTATTTAGTCACTGGTGATGGATGGTGGCTAGCAGTGGAATCCAGGATGCGCGTTTCCTCCTATTTTGGATTCGTCAGCTGGATGTAACTGCACCTCAGTGAGTGTTGTTCCCACTATGACCTGAACCCAAGAACATTCGCTTCAAACGCCAGAGCGTTATTCACTAGGCCAATGAGTCACGATAGCCACTCCTTGTACAACGGATATGGTATGGTCTTTAATGTTAAAGCTTGTGAATATACATCGTTGGTTGGACCGAACATATCGGTCACTATTGACATATGGACTCCTATACAGAGGCCTCGATACCCCCGATATTTTCAAATTTGATATTGATGACGGCTAGTGGCTACTAGTGGCCGATCAATTCGGTTAGATCAACGACAGAGATTCACAAGCTGTAACATTAAAGATTAACTATTAGAACAAGACATATAAGCGAACAATATTGTTTTCAACTAGATCCTCTTCAGGCTTTACCCTAGTACAAATAGCTATATATATATAAGCTATTTGTATTAAGGTAAAGCCTGAAGAGGATCTAGTTGAAAACAATATTGTTCGCTTATATGTCTTGTTCTAATTTACACGATGGGAATTTTTGAAACTTTTAAATCTCAGGTGAATCCTACTGAATTAATTACTATATTTTATTTTTGTTATTTGTCCCTTGGGTTCCCAATGGAACGTAGAGCTTCAGTAGCACGTCTCCATTCCACTCTTTTCTCTGCAATATTTTCAACCTGACTCCACGACAGCCCAGAAGCCCTCATTTCTTCCTCATACGATCTCCTCTATGTCACCCTCGGACGCCCAACTCGTCGCTTCCCATCTGGGTTCCACTCGAGTGTCTGGCGTGTGATGTCCCCAGTCGGCCTTCTCAGTGTATGCCTAATCCATCTCCATTTACTTCTGCATATTTTTTGAGCGATAGGTTCTTGCTTCGTTGGTTCGTTACCCCACCAGAGTTCCTTGTTGCTTATTCTTGTGATTCTGGCTATCTGATCTTCAGTATCGAGTGAGCGTAGGCAGTAGTTGCTGATGAATGTCTGTAATTTGTTGGAAATCCCTTTCGTAACGCGCCAAGTCTCTGAGCCATACAGAAGCACTGATTTGTTAAACAGTACAGCATTTGATGAAAACAAAGTAAAATAGCTCATTGAGATACCACTTACCTAATATCCGTGCAACGCCTTCATCTGCATATGTTTTTGCTTCATTAACCCATTTTTCTACACTGCAAAAGGTTCTCACATCATTCACATCATATACGATGATAATTCCATGAGCACCACGATAATATCTAGTATTTTATAGAAAGTTTAGTCTTTTTAATAGAAGCATACGTTGATGTAATGGTGCGAAATCTTTCTTGTCCGGCTGTATCCCAAATTTGTAGTTTCACTCTTGTATTACCGACCATGACTGTTTTCACTTTAAAGTCTACTCCGATTGTACTCATGTAAGTGTCGCTAAAACCATCATCAATGTACCGGAAGAGAAGGCTACTTTTTCCAACATCTACCAACAAAAAAATTATGCAGGATACAGAAGTGAGAGAATTCTACAGAAGGAAAAAGTCAAGTGCATGTATGTTGCAGTCCCCTGGGTGGATAGTAGTGGAATCCAGAATGAACGTTTCTTTCTACTTGGGACTCGTCAGCTGGATATACCTACCTACCTCCCAGTGAGTGGTCGTTCCCACTGAGACTCGAAACCACGACCACGCCAGAGCATTACCCACTAGGCCAGTGGCTTAGACCTAAGTAGGACGAAACGTGTCCTGGATCCCACTGCCAACCACCAAGCAGACTACAACATGAGTAATCGGGGAGTATAGAAGCATCCGTATAGGGGCTTATCTGCCGACACAGTTCAAGCGATTCAACCCAGTATATTAACAAGAAAGTACAAGTATTGATAAACAAATGCGTGCATGTCACTGGATTGAAATTTTGACATAAAATTAAGAAACATGCGCAAATCAGTTAATTTGTGGGTTTGAAAGTAAACAAGGAGAACAAAGTTGGACTGTGAAATAAATGGGGAGAAAACTGTAGTGTATACACTACAGTCTGCACACATACTAACAGACATCTGAACTTCAGGTCATCGAACTCAACATCAATTAAAGCAGAACTAGTGAGATGTTTAAGTTAAAAATATGACTAGCAAGTCCAAGGAACTATGTAGAAAGATGAAACATATTTTTTTTAAACATATCCGTTTGCCAACTAACCTCAAGAGTCTATTCAGAAAATTTAAAAAATAATGCAGATAGTAACTGCAACACAACTAAGAGGATTTTAGGATTCTGACGTAAAATACTATGAGCATGAGGAACACTACATAGAAATACTAGCAAGGTGACAATTCATGATGACTTTTAGACCTAAAAACCCACTCGGACAAACAGATCATCAAACAACTTGTCACAGAAGTGTATAGGTTCAAGTTACCTTACTATACAGCAGTACTCAAAACCAAGTGGGTGGAAAAACAGTGATATCAAGGTAAACAAAAATGCATGGGAGGAGAAAGGATTAAAAAGTTAGTGTTTACCCATTCATCTGGTCTTGTAGAGCTGGTTACATAGGTCACACAAAGAGTGTTCCATCTAAACACATCCGAACACTATCCTACATGGCTGTCTAAATGACAGTGTAATGCCGTCAACAGCTCGATTCCTGAGCATTTGGTTATCTCTGATCATAGTGCTCTATGAGAGTCTTCTTGCAAAGTCACGTATAAAGTGAAGGCAAACATTTCAAAGTAAGTGAGTATTCGTCAGCTTAACACAGTAGAAGCTCCGGCAATTCAGCACCACAAGCCTGCTCTTCGTGTGTAAAAAAGAAACATTCAACCTCTAATTTTGCCTTGGTTGTAATCTCCCTAGTTTATCCATTTTTGTGTTTATTTACTATAATCCTACAGGCAATTTTTGACGGTCTTGATTTGACCTTCTAGTTCTGATCACCTTGTGACTTTAATGAACGTTTTTGATGACTTTTTATTGACCCATTAGCCATTGGTGAATATATATATATATATATATATATATATATATATATATATATATATATATATATATTGTTGTAACTATGATTACGATGTAGAACTTTTGAAAATAATTCGTCGAAAAGAAATTTTCCTTCGCTAAATTGTCTTTCATTAATTTTCATTATCTAATGGAACTATTTCAATTGTTAAAATGATTCACATTTCGAAGATGTCGAAGAGTGTATACATCTGCATCATTGTGACTGGTTTTCAACCACATCACCAACGGTTTCAAACTATTCCTTACTATAATTTCGAGGATCCCAGCCAGAGAGTCTACATCTTCCTAAATGGCTTAGACCAGCAGTCGAAAGCTTCATGAACTGATACCACATCTTGGTCTACCAAGCATAACCTTAAAGTACGAATAGCTCAGAAATAAGGTGACTGACTGCAGAAATGGGTGATGCAGTTTCAAAACCCACAAGTGAAATCAGTCCCCTCGAGGTTTCAGATACACTTTGCTGACTAACATCCAAAAGCACGAAATATAGGTTCAGAGCTTTCTGTCGATTGCGTCTAACCAACTAATATCAGTTAAAGTGAATTGCAGTGGTTTATTCCCTAGCTTGGTGGCAACTTTGCAAAAACTGATCGAAAGAATTTCGTAAAAGCTTAGGACTAGACAAGATGAAATTGGATACCCGACAGTTACTAACCAGTGTGCGTTCTCGATTTCACCATCTATTACTGCTGGCAGTTATTGTGTAAAGTCCTGACCAACTTATGTTTAAGTTGCTTTTGTTCTTCGTAGAAGTCATAGCCAGGTGGAATGAGTCTTCTCAAACTAATTAGTTGGGATGAAGTCGGCTTTACCGAACCTTTGAATGCAAGTTACCAACTGTATTTACCAGTTTTCACGGTAGACTCAATATTACCCCAGGCTTATCAGGAAGACAATCACTGCAATGCCCAAACAAATGCTTAGCCATCATTTTCCTAAACACCAACGATGTTCTCATCTTCGAACCAAGCACATAGAGGTTTAGTTTCTGAGTGCTTTTGTGCTTACAAGACCACAAACATGCATACACGTGTCCAAACGAACGAGTGGTCGAGGTTCAACCATATACTCTGAAAGAGCAATAATCTCCCATTGATCCTCTCGAAAGATGGTTTATTATAATAAAATCCATTAGCATCCACCGTTAGTTTGGTTTCAGAGGACACCAAGTGAGACAATGTCTCCCCATATGCTTTAAATTAGTGCTGGTCAGAAATAAGTGATTATTAGAAGTTGAGAGAGAAGATCACTGCTGTCGGTTTGTCGCCATGAGATACCGTAAACATATACAATGTGTCACTCAGAGACGAACTTTTTCAACTTACAGATGCTGCTGACCTCATTAGATAACATAACTTAGTCTACAAATACTACGTAGCGATTGTTGCGTTAAGCTGATTGGTATCACCTAGGTCAATAACGTATCAAAACTTAGTTAAAATTATAATACTAGACACCAACAAGACACAAAAAATCTGTGGAAAGATTCGAATATTCCAGTGTACAAACACACAATACAATGGGATAAAACAACAATTGTAATGGCTATTAGTTTTGATAAAACAGATTATCGAAACTTGTTCGTTAAGTCAACACCTAATAAATACAAAAGAAACGACTCAACACCAAATCTGGAGAAATGATGAATTTTATCATCAATCATCCTAAAATGAAGAGTAACAGAACTAGGAGAACCAAGTGCCAAAAATCATGTGACTTTTCGAGTAGTCGATTAAGAGCAATCAAATATGCTATACATTGAATAAAACTGTATCACTGTGTCATATACAACAAACAAATCTGATACTAAGTCACTCATTATTCCACAATCCTCATGTTTTACTTTCAGTATTTTATCCTCCACGAAACTGGTAGTGAAGAAAACTTATATGAATTCTAGCACATGAATATTCAGAACCATTTAACTAAGCTGATAGGTCTTAAATATTATGATGATAGTAGAATTATAACAAATTAAAGAAAAATAGGAAACATGTTTGTTGAATAACAGAAAAGATGAAAATTTGAGCAAGTACCTATTTTCATTATAGTTCCATCAGGCTCTATCTTTACATACAATGTTTCACACCAAGAAATATTCACATATCGAATGGTTACATGAACTTGAGATTTATCTGTACATCAAGCTTATTTTGGGATTAAACTAGATAACAGTTTATTTCACAGGATTTTAAATAATTGATGGATAGAAGGATGAATAGGTGTAGGGATTATCAATGACAATAGGATTAAAATTAAAAATTGTTACTATAGGAAAACCCTGATCCACAGCAATGGTGCACATGGGCTCCAGGTTCCAGATGAAACGAATGGTATATGAACCTATTTTGGTCACAGGTAATCATAGGAATGCAGCTCCTGATATTGCTCCACAACCTTGTGGACTAGATTTTAAGTCAAAGTTTCAGGGAGTGATCCTGTAAGACAATAATCTGCTTCGATCTGGACTCCCGGGCAGTATCCCAGCCCCACACACAAAATATGAATTTACAGCACAAAATGAAGGCCTCGAAGCAATTAACCAACTTTCTTGCATGTGTTGGTGCATCACAACTCTCTGGGTGGGGTCCAAGATATCACGCAACTCAGTGGCTGGAGATGTTATCAGATATGGCTCAGAATCAGAACCAGTGGTGGTTATCCTGTAGCTTTCTTCTATCTTCTGCCACTCAAAAGTAATGAATGTTTTGTTTCGAATGTATCTTACTGGACTACCTTTCTAATCATTATATTGTTATTGTGTTTTTCTTTTCCATTTATCCACTTTGCTTTACGTTCTCAAAATAGTGTTTATATTATGTGTGGTGCATTTCTTGGTACCCTTCTTGTACCATGTGTATGTTCTAACATTATGGGATACTAGGTCTAATGAAAAATAGCAACTTAAAGACTAAAAAAGTGCAGCTCAAAGAATGAAAAGAGCCAAATCAGACCAACATAGAATATGTATGTTACACTTCTGTCCACAAATATTCCTCTAGTAAAGATGACTGGTCATATATTATAAATTACAACGTAAAACAAAGTGATCATTGGCCTACATATATATCGATTTGAGGAATTCTTATTACGATGCACACTACGTTCAGTTTCTTTTTCGTCATCAAATATGCAAGAATATAGATGGGACAGCAATGGGTCCGCCACTTGGATCACTCCATGGTGGCCTGTTCATTTCAGTTGCAAAATTGTAATTTAAGGCAGTAAATAGATCCAATGGGTTCTTACCGCAGATATAATGGAAGATATCTTTTAGTTGTGATAGAAAGACGAAAGTAGATAAATTACACAATAACGGATAATATTTCCCCATGAAGATTCGAGAAAAGTGTCTTTCCTAGATGTCTTTCTAATTAGGTCAGATGAAGGAGAGATCCTTAAAAGTGTTTACCACAAACCATCTTGCAATGGACAATATACACACATTTATAGTTTTGTTCCACTACGACAAAAAAGGGACTTGGTTCGATGTATGTTTGAGAAAACTGGAAGAATTTGCTCTGATGCTACGATAGATAATGAGTTACAAGATCTCATGGATACCTACCTTCAGACAGAATGGATATCCTGAAAATTTCATCGTGAAGAATATGATGAAAAGAACGGACAAACTAGTCATCTCCACCTACGGCAAAAAAGACTCACCAACCTCCAGTTTATCTAGCCAAAATTATTGCAGGCAGACTTCAGCGTTCATTAGAAGACGTTTCCGGCAGCCATTCTCAGACTGACCTTCAACGATAGAGGTATCTTACCACCACTTTTGACATTTCCATGTCAATGTGTATCCACGAATTCAACTGCACCTATTGAGCCAGCTATTAAGAACTACGACAATCCTTCCGCAAAGTGCAAAACATAATCTTTCAGTATGGATAGCAAAAGGAGAGATAAAAAATTTTATGAATTCTATTCAGTCTCACCTTATTGACACTGGTCACAATATCGACAACATATCAAATCGAATACAACAGACTGTAAGAATGAGCTTTCTTTCAACTACAGATTTTACAATAAAAGTCCTAAAACCTGAGCTCTGTGTGCAAAAAACGCCTCAGAAATTCTCCAGTATTTCCGTGGTCATTCAAAAAATGTAGTTCACATAATTCACATAAGCAATGACTAACTTGTTCATACTCTTTATTATCCTGATCTAGCGTTTTTCATTCTTCGAATTGCATTTTTTAATCTTTATTCTGCTACTTTTCATTTGACCTATTACCCTATGTCTATTCCCTGTTACCTGTTATGACTTTCAATTTTAATCCTATTGTCATTGATAATCCCTACACCTATTCATCCTTCTATCCATCAATTATTTAAAGTCCTGTGAAATAAACTGTTATCCAGTTTAATCCCAAAATAAGCTTGATGTACAGATAACTGTCTAAATCTCAAGTTCATGTAACCATTCGATGTGAATATTTCTTGGTGTGAAACATTGTATGTAAAGGTAGAGCCTGACGAAACTATATTGAAAATAGGTACTTGCTCAAATTCTCATCTCTCCAATGGTACAATGGGAATATTTCGTATACTAAATGACAGCTAAATATTTATCACAACGATGCAAGAGTATCCATTCCATTGAATATCATATTACCCCTAAGTTAACTCGTTTCATAACAATTTAAATTCTTCTTGACATGATGAGCATCCAGTATGACCAAAATTGGTTACGTTGGTGACTTTTGCCAGAGAAGACCTGACCATTGCCATCTTCAGGTACTGGTATTTCAAAATAAATTAAAAAGACGTAAAAGAATGTCGGACACTTATCACTGGACGATAGCATATACAGGGTTCAACCAAAGAAGTCAAGAAATCTCGACAGCGATTTAACGGTGCATATGGACTACAATAATCAGAAGGGACCCATATTTGGTCGTCGATAATCAAAAAGATCTATTATGTTTTACGTTACATTTCAAGTCAAATATCCGGGGAATCGTCCCCTAAAACTCTTACCAGCTTCAATAAGGATACCTAATTAGTATTGCAGCTCTTAAAATATGATGGTAAGGTCATGGTCAATACTTTGAATACCTTAGCATACTCACCATTTATCAATTGAACCTAGACTCAAAAATTAGGTCACTAATTCACATTAGTGTTTTCATACTTGCGCACAAAAACCACTCTGTGGAGTGAATCACAACACACTGGTACCAGGTATTTTTTCTAAACAAGTCATTTCTAGGTTGGAATTCATCATAGACTGACGTCAGTTGGAGGGACATTGAGAACCTGGGAGCACTGGACAGCTGTTTCGTCCCAGTACAGGACTCCTCAACAGTGTGCACCTATGACCCCGCCAACCGGGGATCGAACCCAGAACCTTCAGGTTCCGTGGCCAGTACGTTACCGTTGAGCCACTGGGTCAAAATCCAATGGTTCATATTCCCTACTTCTATCAGTTCACGACATAGCGCGACCTACATTTTTTATATGATTATCTTCTAAAATACCACACATTAGGCCTAACTACATATCCTGTAAAACGCTACTTTAAACAGTTGCATAGACTTCATCACTTTTCGAGACACCAATATGCGAAGATATGGAATTACTCATAAATCAAAATTCAACTACCCAACAGCCAATCACTTAAATGTTATGATAAACGCTTGGAACTGCATTTGTATTGAGAGGACTGGTCATCTGAAGAACTATCTAAACGAACTCACATCAAAATTATTAACAATGAACAGAGGTTTCCGCATCATCAATCATCGTCTGGTTTTTTATTGTAATTTTAACCAGTCTAGAGTGAGATCAACTTGCCACATTCATATAGTTGAGTTGATATCTTGAGAATGCTTTTCCGAATCCACGAAATCGGAGTTTAGTGCCTTAAAAAGCTGGAGAAAACTACATAACGAAGTATCCAAACTTCCAAGTTGCTGAAACTGGAACTCTGTCTTTAGTGAGTGTTACCTATGACAACTGAAAAAAAACTCGATAAAATACTTGGAATCCAAATAGGATCGCCATAACTGTTCTGAGGATATTCTTTGCAACTACTTGGATGTCACTATATTGAACATAACTTGTATGGTGAGTTACCTTGGGTTCAGTTCACTTCACACTATATAGTTGCTTGTTTTCCTGTTTCACAGGCGAAAGTAAAGGCCCGGCATATGATCAAACGGATCTGGTTGATGATGCACTGTTTACAAGCATAACCTTAGCATACCTCTTGGTCTAGATGCTTTCCACACAAGTTATTCCTTTAAATCAACATTTCTGTCAACACTAAGTGTCGCTGAAAGTTCATTAATGACTGAATTTAAAGATATACTCTGCATGTGTGTGATTAACTGACTGAGGTTCATAGTGACGGGTCTTCAGTATCGTCTACACTGCATATATAAAGCAGCGATATGGTCTTTGCCATCTATAGCACGCTACTCAGTGTAGCAGCGTTTTCACTTGACCCTGTCTGAGGATAGGCATGAACAATATTGCCACCAATTACTGTCCGTAAATGAAGCAAGAATTAAGATGTCTGCATCTTGTTGTTTTCTTCTGTAATTAAAACATAATCTGTCAGACACCAAATAATTTTCAGAGGCCATAACTTCTCTCAAAAGTGCACACAGCTTTTTCTATAGCATGTCTAACATAGGACATGCATTCTACTGGTATGAGAAAAGAACACGGAAATGAGAAACCAAGTAGGAATTCGACAACAGCAGTCTCTCAGGTATCCCTCTTTTCTTGTCCAAAGCTAATGAAATGCCAGGAATACTTCAGTTCTGGATACGCTTATTTGCAGATTATGTAACTTTGGACTGTCATTTGGTATGCAGGTATGCAGTGTAAACGAACTTAGGTTGGCTGGTAAGTTGGTTTGAAAAATGATGCTGAGAGGATCACTCCAGCAAAAGTGCAATGAAGCATATTGATCCCGGTATTCGTTATCAGTATGTCGAAAAAACGCTGCACGCCTTATTACTAACGGGGTATCGTCAGTCATGACCCGAAAACGTCTGCGCAATGGGACCAAATTTCAGCAAAAGACATTTGTGTGTTATGATCCCTTCAATAAGTCTTTAAAAGCCTCGATCAGGACACTGTGCTATGCATTAGCAAGACTTCGTGAGCAGTACTGCGATCAGAAAACCAGACAATCCCTCAACAAATACGACAACCTACATCAGCGTGCCTAAGAGCCAAGCACTGGGCTGGTTTTAGGTCTTCCCTAAATGTACTGTGATAGGAATTCAGATAGACTGACTCTCTTCTACATCTATTGTAGGAAAAGAGAACTCAATAACATCTTAAGTATCCTTAGAACGATTCGAACATTAATATGTCTGATTTCTCCTTTTTGGACTACTGATTATCCTCGAAGTAGTCGCAGAAATTTCAAAGGATGCGGACAAATCAATATGAGATGATGTTTACCATCCACGCAGACGGTAACGACCACGACTCCTCAACAGACCAAGCGCCATCGAAAAATACATCTAAAGAGACAACGAACCACTATAGATACAAATGTCACAGGAATCATTACAGTGCAATAAATTTACTATCCCTAGTGGTGAATACTGAAACCATTTAGCTGCAGTGGTGATAAACTAAACATCTATATACCAGTACAAAGCATTGTGTATGAAGTTAAAACGATTTTCTTCTTAAGCATTTATGAGACATAGGCAGGAAGAGCCAGGAAAGATAGCACTACTCTCTAGGTAAAGAAGAGAAACAAGCTTCCGACTTTTTGAAAGCATATTAGAGTATAGAGAAGATACCAAACACCACAGAATGCAAAATAAACATCCTGCTTAAGAAATGCACAGTGGCTTACTCATATCGCCTATCAAGAGCAATTTCAGGAGGATATCAGACCTTGCTGACTGGTCCATCTGAGGCGCAAACATCACACTTGGCGCTTCATTTTTTAGGTCATGCAGACCGCGTTCTTGTACTAGCGCGCATTACAGCATTTGACGGTTGATAGAAACTATATCAGCTGTGTAAACTGATAGTTTTGGGCTCTTGTATCCCGTTATTGTGTCACTGTTCATGGCATGTGACTTTGACCTACAGTCATGAAACACCATCTTTTCAGTACGATAACTGACGCAGAATAGCGAAGCAGACTTCTTGTGTTAGAAACATTCATTTCCAATATCCAGTGTCTGTTAAACCGGCTTGTGTAAACCAGTTGGTCTCTTCTTGCTCACTTCTTGGTCTTGCGGTAAGGTTCCAGATCTTTGGCGGATTCCGATGCAGTGGATCCAGGCACCCGTCTGCTATACAGAACAGGAGGTTAAGCGCTGGTTAGTTCGCCTTGGACCGTGGTGCAGTTGGTTTCTTCAGATGTCGGATTGCCAGACAGTTGTTCGGACTAGTCTTTTGAGAGAGTTAGGGATAGTGAAGAGAAAACCAAGAGGGGAAAGTTTGTGTGAGTTGACTCAACGAATTCCCTCTTTCACAGATATCCGGAAATTTATTGACGTTCATACTATGTCCTTAAATAGGAAGTATAATGAAGCAATCGGCACGTAATAACGGTCGAGCCATTGCGTCTACTGTAAACGTACTAAAATCTCTAGATGTATGAGTTAGAGCTATTGAAGTCCTCGAGTACGTTTGATTCTAATGGCTTTTTGATTGAGGATGTGAGAACTGGTTCCTCTCCGTGTAATGAACTTGATTAATACTGTTTTCCTCTCAAGGCCACTGCGTTACACCCCAAATATAGGAGACTTTAGGAGCTTTAAAGTGGAAAAACTACGTAGCTGACTCTACATATATGTATGAAAATGTACATTAAGTTCGAACATCTGCTCGTGCTTCTTTCTTTTCCTATTCGCAGCAACAGCTGCACGACAACATTTGATGCTGAATTTCAATCTGAACATAATTACTTGGTGGAAATAATACCTACTATTTGACGCCAGTAGTTATTGGACTGCTTCCACTCTTTCTCGAATTCTAGACCACCCTCACAACTGACTCACCTACTGGTCTCCATTTTTTGGCAAATAATCGACTAAACTTTCCCAACGGCATTAGTAGCAGAGATATTCTGAACAGATGATAAAACCAGAGACCAAATTACATATTGGCTCAGAACGTGACTTACCTGCAGTAGCTCCACGCCACATGTTTCCTAGTACTCTGTATCAGGTGACCTTTTAATATGAAAGTTGGTATGCATCAAATACACTTTTCGAAAGATACCCCAAGTCTAAATATGAATACTGCCACTTCGACTGCTGATGATTTTAACGTCTATTTCCATCCAATACAACAAATATTCTTGGTGGAATTAACCTTAGGGCGTGACACGGTGACCTGGAAATGCATTGATTTAGACGCTCATCTTGATTATATAACTGTGGATACTTTACCGATGCTGCAGACTGAATAGGTGGATCTCTTTTGGTTAGTAAGGCTAAGAACTGATGAACCTTCTGAGAAATAGACTGTTATATTACTAAATAACAGACTCTGCGGATAGACTTACAACGTTGGTTGGTCATTGCGCAAAGTTCGAACACTATGCACTTTTGTTACTGATAGCGGAACCTGTCTGTGTGGTGAGAGATGAAAATCCATGCCCATCTCATGAGTTGCAGCAACTTTTAATCGGATAATGCACACCGACGATTTGATATGTTAGTTATTTAATACTAAATACCATTTCGTGAAATTTCAAGAACTATTAGTTTGACGATGCTTGTCAACTGGCATCCCTCATGTTAAGTCCATTATATGAGGATAATATTTATTATTATCTAAACCTTGACACTCAGAATACGCTGAAAAGCGATATTTTCTTGTTCGTTTCATATCCAGCAGAATCTGCTGTTTTTAATAGCGCTTAATAACATTCCATCTTTACCATTCAGGACTCGTAAAATCTTGTGGATATTCCGACGTATATGAATGTAATGACGCCTGTAAACTGACTTCTCTCATGATAAGTTACTAATGTGAGAATAAAGCATTTATTCGTTTATTATGACTAACTGCAAATAAGTCGCTGAATAGCGTGCACATATCCAAGGGATTATTATAAGCTTTGGTGTCATGGATAAGAAGAGGAGTGTTATGTCTTGTTCAATCCGATCACTTCTTAATGAGTGCTGATAGGGCACAAAATCTAGATGAGCTGCCTGGCGCACTACTGTCTTCATTCTTCAAACACACATCACGGTTATGCGAGATAGAGTCAGGAACACCAGGAATCAACCGAAGTGCAACTAAGTCGTGATATCTGCAGTATCTTTTTGAGAGCTTGCGTAACTTTCTACGAGCCTTCGGGGTATATCTGGCTCATTGTTTAGTGGCATTTTCCGAGACATTCCAATGGAACATTGGTATCGAAACGAGTTTTAGAGTCGTAGTAAAACATATCAATGGCTAATTTGAGGTCCGTAGTGGTGAAGCATGATCCCCAGTCGATGCACCTAATCATATCTGCTGCCAATCCGTCCTACTGTAGTCTCTGTACACTGTTTGACGTGGAGTGGAAGCACCAATTGAAGGAAGTGGTGGTGCACACAATACCATTTTGTGATCACTTCTTGGGAACTTAGAGCCTACGTTTGCGGAAATAGGAGGTACGTTGTGGCGAAATATTAAGTGCTATACATTGTCACCTCGTGTGGGAGTGGTAACAATTTGCTTCCGTCCAAAAGTAGCCAGTGAGTGGAAAACGTCGCCATGCCAACCTGGATCAGTAGGTAAATCCCACTTAATTTCGGGCGGGTTAAGGACATTGCGTATGATCTTATGATCACATGGGAGAGTGAATGCACGTTCCAGTGCTGTCATCAGTAGAATCTCACGATTGTTAAAGGTACCAGGTGCCCTGTAAACAAATCCTACCAATGCTGTAACGTTCCTGTAATGTGCCGTGACCCATAGTGAGTCCCTCATCTTATCAACAACCATATTCCCCCACCTGAACACAGTGAGAGTGTTCAGGAAGTACATCGGACAACCTCCTCCTCTCTTGTTACTCCGGTCACATTGGAAATGTGTGTACATATCAATACCTACCTCTTCGTCTGGTGGCCTTATGTGAAACCAAGACTCAGTGACAATTATCACAGGCAGATCACATATGAGTGCAATCCCTCTTAACACCGATAGTTTCTTAATGACAAGCCTTGCGTGTATGAGAAAAACGTACAAGTATGAGTAATAATGTGCGAAGCCTTCTAATCCGCCAAACAGCCCAAAAAGTATCTCAGTGTCGCTTTATTGGGTATGGCCCGACGTCACGTTGCAAAACGTCTCTACACCCAAATCACTTGTAGTTGTACAGTTACTAGGAAATCCCGGTGGTCAATCGAGCGCACAGTGATCCGAAATGTACCACCTTTATTAGGGGAGAACGGAGCAGTGCTTCCATTTAAGGTGATAAGTGTGCACGTCATGTCCACGTACACAGTCTGACATCATGTAAGAGTAGTCTCTGGTATCCGCATGTTTCACACAGGGTAAGCAGTTTTACTACTGTACGTGGTGGGTGTGTAGGGCAGGTGATACCACCTGAAGAATTCAAAAGACCTGTTGTGATTTCGCATATGTTAACGCCACTTGGGTAGTTGGCGTCCAGGATTTTTGTGTATGTTTGACTGTCGTTTTTGTTGCTCCGGACGCGTCAACATACGCAGTTCTGAGTGATGAGCCACAAAATCCGAATCAGATAAGAAGGGTAAAATATCTTTCCGGCCTCGCGGTTATTTAAAAACTCCATTCTGCGTCGAATTACTCAACAGTGACTGAATTACATAACAATTAGAAACGTTGACCTAATAAAGTGCGTTCAAAGGGTAGGTACTAAGCCTGTCATGGGGCCTTCGAATCTACTATGCGGGGAGCAATCAGATCGGCCAAACTTATTCCCACCGTATCACCGTAGAAAAAGGAGTGATCTGCAATCCTCACCCTAATAGCGACTTTGGCACTAATATGTTACATCCTTCCTCTCAAGCCGGGATTGAATATCTCCGACGCCGTTGCAAAATAATCCAACAACCCCAACCAAGGCAACTTAGCATGGATCACTGTTTCTTCCACCGTGTGATCGGCGACGAGAACTCCTTACCCAAGCAAGTAGTATCGGGTCTTCCATTCAACACGTTCAAGGAGAAACCGAATCCTCACAGAGAAATCCTGTCCAAAGATTAACCCAGGGCAACGGGCCTGTAAAGGAACAATCGACCTGAAAATCCCTCCTCGGGACCCTGTTTGACAGTGTGTATGCATTCATTCGAATATTTTCTCCCTCCCCATATGCCTTACCCTTCACCCCTGATCCATGCAATGTCATTCTGTCATTTGGTCGTCTCCTTCGGCTTGAGACTCATTACTTATCCTTGTGTTGATCGAGGCCTATCATTAATGACCCATTCGCCATCGCGTGTTGGTGGACTTCTGCCAACATGGCGCCGTGTTACTGTTGTGGTAATAAAAATAATGGTAATAACAGTAATAATAATAGTCACTCCTGAATATGCAGGCAAACACCATTTTTGCAGGCATGAATAAGTTACTATATAAACCACATGCATCTTTATGGCAGGTAATCTCAATACCCACACATTCTGCCACTAGAAGACACAAGTGCTTCATGTTTATATAATGGAACATCCCAGAATGTCGTTGCCCACTTCTTGTCTCGAATCGATGTGAATTTCCCGACGCGACAATTGTACATTGGGCCCGAAACTATGACAATGTTACAGGAAAACTACCCTTATCTCCTAGTGAACCAAATGAAATCAACTCCTATTCTCAAGGACATTCCAACACCCTTATCCGAGGCTACTATTGTGTGTGATCTATCTACGGGTGTGCGCGGTACTTTCGTTCCTCAACCTGCCGAAAAGCTATGGTTCGACGGTTACACTCTCTATCTCATCCATGTGTAAGAGCCACGTTAGGCTAATTAGTCGGCCTTTTTGTGGCCCAAGATAAACGCAGATACCAGGAGGCGGGAGCGTGAATGCTTGGGTTGTCAGTGCCAAAAAGTGAGTCGACATATAAATAAATAAATGAATATTTTACTCTCAAGTTAAGGGTTTAACATGAGAGAAGCCGGTTTATGGGCGTCATCAAATTGATAACGGTGGAGAAATCTCCATTAGTTACGCCGTCCTAAACGATACAGAAGGTATCGCATCAAGGTTTATCATGATATCAAAAGCGACTGAAGGTTATGAAAAGAACAGAAAAGTATCACTTCACAGTACACGCAGATTGCTCATGAGTTTCTGTCGGTTCCTTTCACCATTCTTTTTCCACAATAAAGTGGCACCAAAATCGCATGATATTCGACTTCTGCGTTACATGTGGCCGAGATGCTTAACCTGGCGGTATAGTTCCGTAGGACGTCAGAAAAACGTTTGTTTTGACATCGATTCACACGTTTATAGCATCATCGGCCAACAAAAACCCACTTCATCGACTTCGGGTGACGGTTAGCGTTAGCGTAATCATATACTCTATGTGAATATATAAGTCCGCGCGTTGGCCACTCGTAGTGTGACCTTACTGAGCAATACGGACGCAATCCATCAGAATTAGTCGTTACGGTACAAAGGACTGAACATCTGAAGGACTATTATCCTATGGTGATGGAGTTTTGCACATACAACGGGATAACCACACCCCAGTAGTTCCAACTACTTTACAGACGTTTCCACGTCCACACAAAGCCTGTAAGACCTCTTCCGGCATCTTAAGAATCTCTCCACATACTGAGAGCGATCGATCGTTTCAACAGATGAACCGTCACTTGCCCGACAAATGATATTTCAGCCGATGGTGTTGCCCCTGTTTTCCTCGAACGCTAGGTTTTTAACTTCGGCGTACCTACTACACTCACTTCGGATAGGGGCTCACAGTAGCTCGCAGTAGCTGAGGACTTGGAGAAGAAAAAAAGAGTGATCATATGGTGGCTCTGGCCCTTTTAGGGTAGATTCCTTTCTGTCTTCCTGTGAGGATCACCGTGATGGGCCTGTTGACCTGGATTACTTAGCGTCTTGTAAGCCTTAAAGCAGTCACCATGGAACCTGAGGTAATGAGGAGCATGGAGAGTTGACCCCGTCAGTACACGCTCATGCGATTTTCGCGGAAACCCGAGAACACCCGCTGGTGCCTGTTTCTGGACTTCCACCCACGAGTTCGCACCCATTTTGATGGTAGTGTTACGATGACGTTATGAACCTTCAGGTAAGGTAGTAGGTCGGCTGTGAAAAGGAGCTTCAGAATGAGAACATTCAGTTATCCAAGCGTGAAATGTGGTACAGTATGGGGCCTGGGGCCGTTCACGGCCCCATTTTATCCACTGTGGCTATAAACAGCATACAGAAGTGCAGAAAAGTGCCTGTAACGTCCTTGGTAGGCCAGCAACCTTTGAGCCGACCTCGAAAATGAACAGAACTTGATGGTTATTCACCGAGCGACTAAGTGCGATGCAAAGCCCTATGACGGCCGTAGTAGACGTATGTTCGATTTAGCGCCAACAAACAGCAGTAGACCTCTGCATCAGGGAGATGCCATATTATTACAACTATTATATATTGCTGTATATACATAACTTGACATTTCAACAAACTTTGAAATGCATATCTTTTTAATAATACATACCGTCTTCCGCGGTGCTTCTCTCCACATTCGCGATTTTCCTGGTGAAAGCACTCAGGAGAATAGGCCGACGTTATTTCTCTGAAAATGAACTGGCTGAACTGCCTCCCCTTCTTCTTTGCATGATGCTTTTGCACATCCATTAAACGCGGTTTTTATTTCTGCCAGGAAAGGTCGCGTATTGGTGCTCGCGAAAACTCGGCATGTAATTTTAGGTGCATTGTGTGTATGTGATGTACAATCTTCTGTCTTCTGGCCTGAGGATTTTCACTGCCTGGAATGAAAAGGAGACGTCAAGAAGCACTACCAAAACACAACCTTATCTAATGAGAGGACATGAATCTGCAAATTCAGGGATAAACACTTTTATCAGTAGTAGTATGGACCACTTCCCCAGTTTTCAGTCAGCGTGTGGCTTGGCTCTTTCCCTGCGGTTTTCTGAGAAAAGTGTATACTGTAGAGAGATCGTGGTACTTTCTGAGAATAGGGAGTGCAGAAAATCATCGTCTAGCACTTATTCAGGCTGAAAATTATTGATTTAATAATTCTCGGGCAGGAAAAGTTCTTTAAAGTCCGGAGAATTCTTCATTCCTTATCTGTTACCAAAATGGACAGTTATTCAGTGAAAACCGCCCGGTGCATTACCAACATAACTGGCTGTTTCAGTTTCGTAGGAGATGTATGACGGCTTGCGAGCATTCTGAGAGCACCTTTTTGACAGGAAAGAGTACCGAATCATTTTGGTGAGTCCACACCTGAAGATCCTATATACACCACAGTTCAGGAAAAGTTAGATATGTCAGCACAAATTTAAACAGCACCCAACCACTACCGGGTTTTCCATAACTACTGCAGCATTACTAGAAACAGTTTCCTACGCTCGCACCATAAGTAGTTGTTGTTAGATAATTCATCATAGATCTAGAACAGCTTTTCAAAAATTTGAAGAGAACGTGAGGTTATTATCTGTTTAATTCAAACTTGTGAAACAGGTATTGTATACTGGCCAACCCGCCGAACTAGAAGTCTCTCAAGGTCGATTTTACGTGACATATATAACTTGTGAATGGAGAGACAAAAATCTTTCGAAGTTTTAGATTTCGATGTAATGTCACTTTTCTAATGATTTTATATTCAGGGTGAATTCTTTAAGCAAAGTATGTCCAAAATCGTTTGGTTGTACTCACTATTTTCCTTATTTCATTGTGAAGATTGGTAGTTTTACCTTATTTTCTGTGGACGTGTCTGTAAGTGTGTTTACTTTTAGCGAATTAAATCTTTCAGCATGTATAAGTAAGATGTTCGGGTTGAATCGAAAAATCTTTTCAAGGCCGAGTGATACGCACGCTTAGTGATCTCGAATTACTGATAATACTATCAAACCAATAGAATTTTATCTCATGTAATTTAAGTATGCATCTGCGAAAATCAGAAGAAATACTTTAGTGTGGTGGTTTTGTGCTCATTGTCGAATCTAAAAGATTTCCTCCAAATCTTTCGTCCCCTGAGGTTAAAGAAGTCGAAAACTACGATGTAGGTGTTTGCATCCTAGTCAACATTTACCTTGGGCCCACTTTGTAAGTCTTGAACTAAGACCCTAAGAAATCATGAGGGTGCACCTGGAAATGCACAATATCACTGAATAACCCAGTTTTCCACTGAAATTGTCAAAAGTCCTGGACTTTCCAAAGCCTTGGCAGTCGCTCAGTTTCTGAGAAATCACTACCTCTATTTCGAGGCCGTAGCTTGGCGTGGAGTGTAGCCCCATATTTTTGTTATAGGCTGCGTTTCCATACCTGAAAACCCTTACAATGCAAGTTTTAACAGAAAATAACAGAATTTTTCGGGGACCTGCCACAAATTCGTAAGTTCACCTGAAGTATATTCGTGATGATACACGTTGTTTTCAAAGTGCATCCAAATGTAATATTGGCTGGGATGTGTTTTCAGTGAAAGGTTCCCAACAGTGTCAAAACATAACCTTAGCTTTAACTCTGTGGAAGCTGAAATTCACTTTCAAGTGGACTAAACCTCCCTTCATGGTCAGTGAAAACCAAAAAGCCAAAGAACCCAATCAAGTGAAAATGCAGGAATAATGTAGTAACCAATTTACTTGAATAAGGAGATTATGCGGAAATCTGACTAAACGAATAATATTAACCTGTCCTCATAAGCGCCGACGATAAACTTCTAAACCGCAATATCAATATATTACTTATTTATCATGACGGATATTCCTCACTTAAACGCTTTGCACTTAAGACATCCTAATTTGTGTCAAGTACTTGGAGCTTTCAAATGTGAAACCAGGGGATTTCACTGTCTTAGAAACAAGTTAGAAAAAAATGGGTGGTTCGCTAATTCTTTAGTGTACCGAAGACTGAAGTTTCCTTATTGATTGTAAGTAGGTCAATGTAGAAATCGTTCGCATTTTCAGCTTCCGGTGGTAAAAAAAAACGAATATTTCACTAGCTTGTGAGATGTGGTTAATGCTTGTCATGGGTCGCTGATGAATGTTCACGAATTAAACCTAGGAGTCAGGACCAACCAGCTAACTACAACTTTTTTTGTTCTTAATATATACAGATTTAAAGTCGGTTCAAATTAAAAGAGACAACTGAACGTAATTTTCCTGTTTTACTAGCTGTTTTAATATAGGGTAGCCTACTTAGGATAGCCTACTTTCAGTTAGATGTTAGTGTTTGGGGAGCTAGGGTTAAGGTTTAACACTATTGTACATGCTAATACTGAATTAACCTAATGTGAACTGCCGATTTGCGATCCATTCGACTTCGACACTATACGAACAAACAAAGGAACCTGAAGAATTATTGTGTCCAACGTAGTTTCTTGTGGTTTGATTGACTCCTTCCTTATCTATTTATTATTTTATTATTATTAGTCCCTTGGGTTCCTAATGGAACATAGGGTCCTTATCTATTACTAACAAAAATTTTGTTGACTTGATGATAGGCTAGGCGATTCACTCAACGATAGAGCTGCTCAAGAATAGTGAGATCTCACGAATTGCTATTGCTGTTGTATTTATTTTTATTGATTGGTGTTTTTCTAGTGTATATGACCCCTATTCACTGCAGTGATGTCGCGCTGTATCACTAATCAACAGAAGTAGGAAAAAGTGGACGAATGTATTGTAATTAAGCAACGGGATAGTTACGTGCTTTCTGTGGGACTCTTCTTTGAGTTATGAATGCACACTGTTGCCTAGTCCCAATTTTGGACTCAATAACTATCCACTGCTCCAGGTTTTCAATGCTCCTCTAATTAAAATCAACCCATGAAATGCATCTTGAAATCGTTCGTTGTTGTCTAGTCTCTAATCTTTGATTCTATTACAGTCGTCTTGTAAAATTGCTAACCGGATTAATTATTTCGAAGGTTCTTGCTTAAGTGATAAACTACTTCACCGAGCAGCAGGAAACTAAGAATGAATAGAAAAAGTGAATGTGACTTAGGAACAATTGCACTCTTCCAAGATAAAGCTTTTAGACGTGATTTCTGTAGAACTAACTAAATATAATCATTTTTTCGATAAATCCGAACTCACTACTGATGTGTACAATTTGTCAGCAGCCTCACTTTTGAAATAGGATTTTTATCATGCTGTAACTTTGAAAAATAACCCACATAAACTTAAACTCTAGTAAATGAAGCAGTCACGTTACCGAGTTCAAAGTGATTGGAGAATTCCTGATACGGCAAATATGTACTACTCACTTCAGCTGCCAAGGTGTCTGACAGGTTAAATTTTGGTCAAATTCTTGTCCCGTGGTCATGGGTTAACAGTTATCCATGGTCGTTGAACCTTTTCCAAATCGTCTTACTGTCACTATTGATTATCTTCCACAAGTCGCCTGCGAAATGCTGGAAACGAAGACGCGAAACTTTCATGGTAAGGTTCTGTACGCCTCAATCATTTCTGTATATCATCATATCGCGAATTCTCTATTAATTTTGGTTTTTAACTCCATGTAGTGGATTTTCATGTCGGCACACAAGATTAGATTTCAGCTACTGTAATCCAATTGTCCCGGTGCTACAAATGAATGAAACTTCTTTGAGTTAAATGCGGCTTACCAAACCACACTGGTTTAACTGCTTATAAATGAAAGCTAATTAAATGCTTCTACATAACTCATTACATTTTAGATGAAAACAGTACCATAGAAAGTACCGAGTTAATTTCTGATGGGGTTTCTCATGATGAATCACGTTCTTATACGGAGCTTTCGGAGTCTGACTATTCAGAAAATTCTCTCTCCGCTTCAAAATCCGATTTAATAAAACTTGACTTTGATCAAAACCAGACGTAAGTTATTTTTATGTAATACGACTAGACTAATATTGTCGGTCGATAAACTTATACGAGTTGTATCCTTGTTATTCGCATATATTTATCTAAGAGTGATCAGCTGATAAGAAACCATTTCATTTCCTGCTATTGGATTAAAGGATTAAAAATGAGTAATTGTGGCTTCACCATCTTTATTGAAGTTATAGTGCTTAAAATTTAGTTGGATATAACCACATCAAAGATGACAACACTATCGCAGAACACAAACCAGTAAAATATTAAATCAATTACTTAATTTACACAATGCCATGATGTTCTGGCCAAACATTTTACGAATTCAAACTACCTGGGAAATAGTACAATCAATAAACAAAAAGTCAAAAGTACCTTTCAACGTAAAAGACTACGAAATTTCGTCGCTAGTCAGCGGTTTAGAGCAGTATGAGTCTTCTAGTATATGATGGGATGAGCTTCTCATCATAAGACTATGATGCATCAATATCTTATAGTGTTTTAACAACAATGAGAAAGAATCGAATGTAGATCTTTAACTGACTTATAAACACTTATCAATGTCTTGAAGTACCTTAACTGTGAGTAATTAAAAATAAAAATTCTACCTTGACTATATATATATATATATATATATATATATATATATATATATATATATATATATATATATATATATATGTCGCTTTGTCGCTTCCAAAAACTGATGTGCAGTTTATAAAAGATGACTGGTCGTTGCGTGACTGAAATTACCCAAGGTATAAAATACACTACACAATTTGTATAAAAATTGATGAAACACATCTACTTTTCAAATGAATTTCCTCAAACTCTCACTATTCCCATTGGCTTTGATCTACGTCTCAGTAAAACTGTGACTCATTGATTTAGAGAGTTGATTTTCAACCAATAGATCACGAGTTTGAACACCACTCCAGCTACCGAGGTTTGGACAACCACGTAGTAATATCATTAGCCTTCACACAGTAGGTGTAACTCATTGCCTATTGCATAGATATGTGCACAAGGTTCCTGAGTAAGTTTTTATTCAAGTCCCATATATTTCAATTCAAAACTGAAAACAATAAGTGTTGTATAGTATTAAAATAGTCATTTCCGATAAAAGTAGCTTAAAATCTGAACTTAGCACAAATTTGAATATGTAACTGAAGTCGAAAAATGAAATAGAAGTCTGGAAGACAGTTATAAATAATCCTTAGTTTACAGTGGAGTTATCCTTAACAACCAATTTTCATTTCAAACAACATGTAGAAAAGTATTTGTCAAATCAAATGAATTCATTTTGTTTCCAAGGTTTCTTGTCGTCTGCGTGAAATGCGAATTTGTAAGAATATTGGCATAAAGCTTAACTTGCTTTACTTATGAGTTCCTTAAATGTTAGTTTATGTTTTGAAAGCGAAGAATTAAGGTACTCAGCTTTATTTTTAACTAAATGCACATGTATAATATCAATAAATAGTTGAAGATTATCTGATCAGATTTTTAATAGTGGAGAGTTAAATCCTCAGCTTCTTCGAAGATTAGATCATCATTAGAAGAATAAATTAGCATACTGATAAGATTATCCATTTTCTAGTATCAGTTCTTGTTAGTATCACAGCTTGCGATTTATACTGAAACAAAGAAACTGAACAATTGTTGTTTGATTACAGCATTGTTGAACAATCCTCTACATCTCATGAAGTAGATAAATCATACTCCTCTTCCTCTTTCTCCATGCCATCCACCGAGATGAAAGCATCTGATATGCATGACCAGTTACAAATTCAACTTTCGAAAGACTTGGACACAAATATTTCCGATCGAATACGTTTCTACTGTAAGTAAACACTTCATAATCATGCTGTTGTTTAAATTGGAATATCCTGCGTTACTCATCCATATATATATATATATATATATATATATATATATATATATATAATAATTGTTATTATTATTATTATTGCTTGTCCCTTCGATTCCTAGTGGACATAGGGCTTCAGTAGCACGTCACCATTCCACATTGTTGTCTACAATATTTTCAACCTGACTCCATTTCTTCCTCATACGATCTCCTCCATGTCACCATCGCCTTGGACACCCAACTCACCGTTTCCCATCTGGGCTCCACGCGAGTGCCTGGCGCGTGATGTCCCCGAATGATCTTTTCAGTGCATGCCCAATCCATCTCCACTTCCCTCTGCATATCTGTTGAGCGATAGGTTCTTGGTTGGTTCATCGCCAGGCCAGAGTGAGTTCCTTGTTGCTTATTCTTATTATTCTGGCCATCTGAGCTTCAGTAACGAGCCAGCGTAGGCAGTTGTTGATGAATGTCTGTAGTTTGTTGGAAGTGCTTTTCGTAACGTGCCAAGTCTCTCAACCATTCCAGAAGCACTGACTTGACTGACGTTGGTGTTGAAAATCCGGATGTGTTGACGCTTTATGCTGAGTGCAGTGGAGTAGATCTCCACACTGGTTTCAGGTTAATGAACGCCTGTCTTACTGTCTTTCCGATCCTGGCTGGCATTGACGTCCTCGTCTGTGCCTGTGCCGTCTGTAGTTGAAACAATGCTGCGTAGATAGATGAAAGAGGCTACTTTTTTTAGGTTTCTCCCGTTGATGGTGATTGGTGTTTGTTGTTGGTGGTGTTGGTTTGGGTATCTTCATCACCTCTGTCTTCTCTACGTCCACTTGAAGTCCTGTCTTCCTTCGCTGCCTCGCTTTTTCTGTCAACTCATTGGATTTTGCCTGTAGATCTTTAAGTTTGTGTGACATTAGACACAAGTCATATTTGGCGAAATCCCAATCTTCCAGGTTCTTTTCCCCGTTCCAGCCAGCGTATCCCCTCTTCTCGTTCCTCACTGTTTCTACTTGTTAGCAGTGTGTATTATGATCCGAAAACCAGGATCCTAAACCTAACGGGTTTCGTCAGCCAGACGTTGGAAAACAGCTTATTGCTAGTTATTCTAAGATGATATTAGGTACTTCGGAAAATGTCTCACTTCATTCAGTCACCAACATACACACATTAGGATAAACACAGAGTAATCTTGAATTCCTCCTTGAAGTTTCACATCTTATCATTGTTCTGTAACTATTGTGAATAGTTATCGAACATTCTATTCCAATAACAATATAATGAATGAATCCACACTATGATATTCCTGATTGTAGTGGACTGGATCATGCAACAAACAGTGAGGAACGAGAAGAGGGGGATACGCTGTAAATTGCAATTTTCTTTCTGATTTAGCTTTTATTTTTTCGTTAATTGTTAGTTTACTTCCCATGTTGTGGATATTCGTAACGCTTACCAAGCTACTGGACCAAAATATTATAAACAATAAGTGTTTTTTAGGCGTTGTCTGTGGAATGCAACTTCAACGAACCATATGTGACGAGGTAGATCGTGGTTACAGGATTTCAATGATTTAAATCTGGAAGAAACATAATTAAGCTAAAATCTACAAAACTTCCCCCCCTCCCCCCACTATTCTTCAGTAAAGTAGTTGATAAGAAAGCAGAATGAAGCTGTAGCTAGTCTCCTCCTAGTTTTCATATGACAAGGCATTTAGCTACTTCACTTCTATTTTGTCCCAGTCGTTTAAGCTAGTTTTTGACATTGGAATCTATTCACCAGTTTTGCCTATAAACACCATTCTAGCAACCACCAATCTAAACAGTTAGGTTTCTTTATTCCAGTTACAATGGCATTTCTTCATAAAATGTAAAGGCTTAATTGGCTGCTAGAGTGGCCTCTGGAGTCACTCATAGACTACTAGACCAGAAATCTACCTTTGTATGTAATATGTTGGTGAATGTCTAGCCACAGCTTTTAATCGAATTTGTATACACTATCCATCTCAAACGTCAACAAACAAGCATACATCACTAGTTTTCTGATATTACTTTTGATCCTCATTTTGGTAGAATATTTCTAGATAAACTGGGGTAACTTTAAAAGCCACCTTAGCAACAGCTGAGGCGACCAGTTGCCTTCCTCTATTCTTCTATCGAAAACTACCGTCCCAGCTGAAATTTCGAAGTCTGATTGGTTATTTCAACAGTTGCTAGAGTAGCCTTTAAAGTCACTTGTTTAAAACTGGATCTTGAAAAAATCTATTCTCTACTGACTAGGACATTTCCTATGATCTATGCAAAGCTAACCAACCGTGAGCAGTTTGGATATTAGGTATCCGTGGTGTAACTTTAAAGATCACTGCGACAAGATCAATATAGGACCAGACATTACTGTGCAACGGTCCAAGTTGTCATACCTCATATCAGCACATCAAATAAAAAGGTAATAAAATGGAGGATGAGGGGAGAAAAATCGGCCAAAGGAAATAGAAGTAGAAAGTAGTAAAAGAGAAGAAGGAAGAATGAGATGATGAGATTATGTATAGCGGTTAATGTGAGGATAATGTGCATATGCATCTGCGCCACTGATATCGGTTCTCAGCCATATCACCTAAAGTCTCCAACCACTGGTTTCCCTTGTCTCACGGACCCCAACCAACTACTTTGCATCGCCCTACATGGCTCAAACGAACAGTCAAGGACTTCATGGCCCCTGAAGTCTTTTTCTAGTCCGAACGTACTTCGGCCAGCATTGTGCCATGAGACAGACGGTGGCCTAGGTAAACGTAACATGTCTCAGCCATTTCAGTCGATGAAGGTTCACACCAACTGTCTTACCTCTACTGCATAGAACTCTACGTCTGACTTCTGCGTTACTCACGTGGTGACACCACGAAACACGGCCTATGCTATGAAGGCAACTGTGGTCAAACACTTGAAGTCTTCCTATGTCTTCAACGTTTATTGGCTGTGTTTTACAACCATACAGTAGAACAAAGCGGACTGTAGCACAGTATTTAAATGGCCAATCAGGTTTATATATTTTTATGAAAGAAAACGACCTTTCTAGACAAAATCGAGGGATCTGATTGGTTATTTCAGTGGCTGCTAGGATGACCTTCTGTCATTGACCATTATGGCAACTATTTATTTTTATTTTGTATCCTTCTCTCTTGAAACATTTAGTGAGCACAATCACTCTGAATACACTACACTGTTCACTCAAACAATGAGTCGCATACTTTCGTCTATCGGTTATCGGTACTTATTGAAAGTACAAATTTAACACCATCCCATATTCAAACATTTAGTTGTATTAATGTCAAACAATAAACACAGACTATCTATCAGAATTCGAGCATACAAACAGAGTACAATTAAATTTATCTAAAATAAATTTCGACATTTTATAGACTTCAAGATCAAAATTTTATCTGGTAGAATTGACTAACTTGGCCACTAAGTAAAGAAAATATAACAGTAAAATTCCAATGAAGTAGAAAAATTAATCTCTGACTTTTCATGATTCAAATCTAGAAAGACCTAGAAGTAGCCAAGATCACTGTATGTATATATGACTGCAATATACCTGATATCGCACTGTTTTCCATTTATCTAGAAACTGAGCGACCAGCAAAGGATGGAATTTGAAGGTCTTTGTTCAAACATCTGCACATATGTGTATGTATACACTATATCCAAGACAATTGATTTCCCTATGAGAAAATTAACACCAGAATCGTCTGCGAACCAGCTTCACTTCAGACATCACATTCATTAACCATGAAGTAACTGAATAACCTTGAATCCACCTCTATCCATAGGTCGCTCACAGTACGTCAGGTGGTCAGAAGTATGTTATTGAAGAAGCATACTTTGATGTTGACTACGACAATTTATCACATAGCAAAGTACTTTAACAGTCAGACTAACTACTCCTAGATTACCCTGGCTCAAAATAGATACAAGATGTCGAGCTATCATTTACAAAACTGAGGCTTATTCGGAACCAGAACCTACTTGCTCAAATGAGTCAATGCATGCTTCAGAGAATATGTCAGATGTTCATATAAGCCTAAGTGAAATTCATTCATCTAGAATAACAAATTTGTTTAACCGTTTCAATGTTAAAATGCCGTGGTAACGATTAAATGTTCATTTTTGCAAAATCAGTATCGAACAACATTAGAATTCAACAACGAAATCTATGCGAGATGTTTTTGTAAATACTTATTATTATTGTTCCGTTGAATTCCTAATGGAACATAAGGCTTCAGTAGCACGCCTCCATTTCACTCTCTTCTTTCCAGTCTTTTGAATTTATCGCCACAACCGCCCAGAAGCTTTCATTTCTTCTTCACATCATCTCCTCCATGTCACCCTTGCCTCCGACGCCCAACTCGTCGTTTCCCATTTGGATTCAACTCGACGGCCTGGCGCATGATGTCCCCAATCGGTCTTCTCAGTGTATGCCAGTTCATCTCCACTTTCTTCGTCTGTATATTTGTTCGGTGATAGGTTCTTGGTTGGTTGTAAATACTTACATCAGTCTATTTTCTTCTGAAGTGGAGAAGAGAAAGTTCATCAAATATTCTTCTTTAAAGTGTCAGTAAATCATTTCCCAGTATATGGGAATCAAATACGATCCCCTCCGACTGGTCTAAGTCACTGATCATCCCAGTCTTCAAGAAAGGCGAGAAGTCCTCTTGTGATAACCACAGAGGAATCAGCCTGACAAACATAGTGTCTAAGATCCTAAGTTCTATAATTCTCCGACGCCTGAGTGGAGCTCGGGAACAGCAAGCCCGAGAAAACCAGGCAGGCTTTAGACCTGGCCGTGGATGTATCGACCAAATATTCACACTGCGCCAGGTCCTGGAACATAGGCATGCTTACAGACGCCCGACAATAGCTGTATTTCTCGACCTGAAGGCGGCATTTGACTCCGTTGATCGAGAAGTCTTATGGCAGTGTCTGTCACTGAAAGGCGTGCCTAGTAAGTACATCACCTTATTGAAAGCTCTCTACTCGAACACTTGTGGGCATGTTAGAGCCTATGGTGAGTTGTCCAGGGAGCTATACTCATCAAGTGGTGTCCGTCAAGGATGCCCACTATCCCCATTCTTATTTAATTTTATCATAGATATTCTTATGGAGGTTTCCCTCTCGTCACCTAATTACAAAGACGTTGACCGGACCACAGGTGAATTTTCCTTAGATCTAGAATATGCAGATGACATAGTCCTGTTAGGTGAAGACGCTGACAAGATGCAGAGTCTTCTGAACACTTTGAGTGGGAATTTGAGAATGTTTGGGATGCGATTTTCACCACCCAAATGCAAATTTTTGCTCCAGGACTGGTCTTCAGCGGTACCGCGGTTAACAATAGAGAGTGAAGTGGTTGAGTGTGTTGACCACTTCACTTACCTGGGAAGTAGGATCAACTCCGGTGGGTTAGTTGCCGATGAGATTTCTGCACGGATACAAAAGGCTCGATTGGCTTTTGCCAATTTGCGCCACCTATGGCGCCGCCGTGATATTCGTTTGTCTATTAAGGGTCGCGTGTACTGCACAGCAGTCCGCTCTGTTCTACTGTATGGCTGTGAAACATGGCCATTGAAAGTGGAAGACATGAGAAGGTTACAGGTATTTGACCACCGTTGCCTTCGTAGTATAGGACGTATTCCGTGGTGTCACCATGTGAGTAATGCAGAAGTTAGGTGTAGAGTTTTAGGGAGAAGAGGTAAGTCAGTCGACGAGGTTGTGAACCTTCATCGACTGAGATGGTTGGGACACGTACTACGTATGCCTAGTCACCGATTGCCTCGTCACACAATGTTGGCTGAGGTGGGTTCAGGCTGGAAAAAGGCCCGAGGTGGCCAGACTAAAACATGGCACCAATGTATGAAGTCTCTGACTGTTGGTTTAAGCCATGTAGGACGATGCAGACTAGGTGGTTGGGGTCCACGGGACAAGAGGAACCAGTGGTTGGAGACCCTAGGTGATATGGCTCAGAACCGAAGTCAGTGGCGCAGATGTATACACACATTATCCTCATCTTAACAACGCTATACCGAATCTCACTATTTTGTCACTCCTCTTTCCTTTCTTCTCATACTTTATATTTCTTTTGACTGCATTCACTTATCTTCATCCTTCACCTCACTACCTTTTTACTTGATGTGCTGATATGAGGTGTGGCAACTCGGACCGTTACGCAGTAATGCCTGGTCCTATGTTGATAATGATGATGATGATGATTCCCATGTTGCAGGATTTGATGGATTCAATTTAGTTAGTTCAAACTACGTCACCAGAAGATTATTAAAGAACAATTTTTCACGATCCAGAAAAAAGTAATCAATCAGTCAAAGGATACCATTAACCTGTTCGTCTCTATTTCAATGGGGAGGTGTTATAGTGTGGAATAAGATTATCAAAATTTGTATAAGAATCCCTAAATCCATGAAGCCGTTTACACCCAATCGTTTTTCTCTGAAGTTTCGGGAGAAAGCATATGAATCAATATGTAAATATCAGATTGGTTGAAGTGACAAAAATTCAATAGGATATTCAAGTCTGGAAAGGTCTGGAAATACCCAAGGCTACTACTAAAGATCAGATGGCCAGAAAGAATAAGCAACAAAGAACTCTGGCTGGCGACAAACCAACCAAGAACCTATCGCTCAACAAATATGTAGAAGGAAGTGGAGATGGATTGGGCATGCACTGAGAAGACCATTGAGGGACATCATGCGTCAGGCTGTCGAGTGGAACCTGTATGGGAAACGACGAGTTGGGCGTCCGAGGCGAGAGTGACATGGAAGAGATGACGTGAGGAAGAAACGAAAGCTTGTAGGCAGTCGTGGAGCCAGGTTCAAAAGACTAGAGAGAAGAAAGTGAAATGGCAACATGCTACTGAAGCCCTATGTTCCACTAGGAACCCAAGGGGCAAATAATAATAATATATGTATAGAACTTTTCTTAGGTAGTCACTACAAAGATATAACAAGTGGTGACAAGGTTATGAAACGCAACATCATGGAAGCTGCCTCTTCGGAGAATAAGACCTATACAGGTTATCAGTTATCAATAACTGATCACGGTAACATTCACTCACGTATTATTATTATTATTATTATTATTATTATTATTATTATGTGCGAACAATATGGTCTGATTTTTCTTCATTTACTATTTGAACATAACTTGTACAAGTTGTATTCTGTAAAGAATCAATTTGAACAAGATTGTGAAACGTCAGCAATTTATTTTTCTAACTCATTAGAATTTCATAAATATATTTCCTTTACAATTTGATATTATTTTGTTCTTTTTCAATAATATTCTCTAGTGGAAAACAAAAGGTGTATTTCTTGTTGTTAAATTCTTATCTAATTTAATTTGCATAAGATTTTCATGTGAATAAATAACTTTTAAAAAGGTGTTACTATTTTTGTTTTTCTTCTTTCTTTTTTTACCATTCAGTTCATGATTTTCTTCTTGGAAGTATACTGTTTAGTTTATTTCTAGGTAAGTTAATAATTTTATAGATGAACATCATTACTCAGTGAAATGTTTGTCTCATATGTATGTTTCTACGAAACTGTGACTCGTCAGCCTAGATAATCAATTAACTTTCAATCAGTTGATCACAGATTTGAAACCTTGCTTCTTGTGTTATCATACCGTTTGTCTATTAAAGGTTGCGTGTACTGCACAGCAGTCCTGTCTGTTCTACTGTATGGCTGTGAAACATAACCATGGAAAGTGGAAGATATGAGAAGGCTTCAAGTGTTTGACCACCGTTGCCTTTGTAGAATACGCCGTATTCCATGGTGTCACCACGTGAGTAACGCAGACGTCAGGTGTACAGTTTTAGGAAGTAGAGGTATATCAGTTGACGAGGTTATGAACCTTCATCGATTGAGATGGTTGGGACACGTGATACGTATGCCTAGTCACCGATCGCCTTGTCACACAATGTTGGCCAAAGTAGGTCCAGGCTGTAAAATGGCCGAGGTGGCCAGACTGAAACAAGGAGCCAATGCATGAAGTCTTTGATTGTTGGTTTGAGTCATGTGGGGTGATGCAGACTAGCTGGTCGGGGTCCGCGGGACAACAGGAACCAGTGGCTGGAGACTAGGCAATATGTCTCAGAACCGATGTCAGTGTCGCAGATGTATACACACACTATCCTCATCTTAACGACGCTATACCGAATCTCACTACTTTCTCATTCTTCGTTCCTCTCTTTCCGTACTTTATATTTATTCTGACTGCATTCTCTTATCTTCATTTTGCGTCTCACTGCCTTTTTACTTGACGTACTGATATGAGGTGTGGCAACTCGGACCGTTAAGCAATAATGTCTGGTCCTATGTTGATATTGATGATGATGATGTAATTTAATTAAATAATTTGCAGCAATTCAACCTGATTCGTACCTTCACAATAGGCTATGAGTCATGCTTATTGTGTGTTGATTCATGATACTACTTGGTTGTTCAAGTCGAAGTAGATGAAGTGAGTTTCAAACCTTCAATCCATTACTTGAAGGAGAATAGTCAAAAGGCACTAATTAATTAATTAATTGGATAGAAAAACAGTGATATCAAAGTAGATAAAGTAGTATGAGAGAAATAAACAATCTGAAGATAAAGATGAGTACGAATATTCAAGCCATGTCACCAAGTGTCCTCAATCCCTGATTCCTTTCGTCTCAGGGACCCAAACCAGGCAGTCTGCATCTCCCTACATGACTCAAGGCAACAGTAAGAGACTTCAATGACTAGTGTGGGATTTTGGTCTGGCCACCCTGAACCCTTTTTCATCCTAATCCAACTTCCCCTACCACAACACGTTTAGATAGGCAGTGGCTCAGTATGTGTAGTGCATGTCCAAGCCATCTTAGTTGACTAACGTTCATAGCCTCATCGATCGAATTGCCTGTCTTGCCTAGTACCATTCATCTGACTTCAACATTGCTCACTTAGTGGTTTCACTAAACGAGGGCAATGCTACGAAGGCATCTATGATCGAAAAACTGTAACTGTTTCATGTTGTCTACTTTTAATGGCCATGTCTCACAGTCATACAACAAGACAGAACGGACTGCAGCACAGTATACTCGTCCTGTGATAGATAGCCGGATACCTCCCCGACACCATAGGTGACGTAGGTTGGCATACGCCAAACGGGCCTTCGGTATCCGAGCTAATATTTCCTTAGCAACCAGGTTGTTCGGGCTGATGCTACTTCCTAAGTAAGTGACGTAGTCAACACATTGCACCACCTCATTCCCTATCATTAGACGGGGAGTCGTTTCACACCAGTCCTGGAGCATCATCTAACAGGTGACAGGAAAATGAATGCGAAACATAGAAAGATTTCTGTTCAACGCATTCAAAGGGCCCTGAATTTTGTCATCGTCTTCAGGACAATATCGTCTGCATACTCGAAGTCAACCAGGTGACCTCCGGGGAGTAGATCAATCCCTGTGAGGTCAGATGTGCATAGGGTTATGTCCACTATTACATCTATGACGAAGTTAAATAGGAACGATGATAGTGGACATCCCTGCCGGACACCACTAGTTGTCATCAACTCACTTGACAACTCTCTATAAGTTTCATTAATATAAGTGTAAAACTTGGGCACTGTGGTAGAATGTAATTCCATATTAGATTTGTTTATTTGATATATAGCGCACAGTGATACAGTATTATTTACTTGATTACGTTTCGAGCATAAATTATTGCTCATAATCTCTATAAGCCCTATCATGGCTCCGTGAGTCCGAGTAGAGAGCCTTAATGAGCATTATGTACTTACTCGGTACTCCCTTCACAGTTAGACACTGCCACAACACCTCACAGTTAACAGAGTCGAAATGCCACTTTCAGGTCAAGAAATGCGGTAAGTGTCGGTCGCCGGTAGGTATTTCTGTGTTCCAGAATTTGTTGGAGGGTGAAAATATGATCGATCCATGCTCGTCCAGGTGTGTGTGAAACCTGCCTAGTTTTCTCGAGTTTGCTGTTCTCGAGCATCAGTTAGGCATCATATAACTATGTGCCCTAAAATCTTGGACACAGTACTAGTTATGCTAATTCCCCCATGGTTGTTACAAGAAGATTTCTCCTCCCTCTTATAAACTGCTATTATCAGTGAACTAGACCAGTCTGATAGGACTATCTCTGATTGGTATACACTGCCTAGTATCTCCGTCATTCTTATCATCAATTTCCTGCTTCCATCCTTGAGAACTCCAGGTGGCAAACTGTTAAGTTGTGCTGCTTTGCATCGTTTCAGGTTCGATACAACTTTCTCAGCTTCAAGAAAAGTTGTATGACTGATGTTTGTATGCCATTTAAGTTTAATCTGGATATTGGGCAACTGAAGCGTTACTAAGGACCAGTTGAACTGTGCTTCAGACTGTTCTAACCGCCTGTACCGAAAAGCTATCAAATGAAACGAGTTTTGTGAGAGAAGCATGAAAGAACAAAAGAGAAAAAGTTCAAACCAATATAATAGACACTTGATATCTTTTCTGAAATACATTAGTTAGTTGTGGAAATAAAATATTTCACATAACTATGTTCTCTCATCTGAGGTAAAAATCAACAGTGACACTTAGAGAGGGGCTAAGCTTAAAACCGTTCAAAGAAGTTAGTTGCTCTATGTTAATTTAAAAAAAAACTATTCATTTGAAAATAACTCGATGAGAATATAACTGGTATGGCCACTGTCACACTATTAACACATTAAAAAAACTTGATTCGAACATAATGAAGGAAAGAAGGAAAGCATCTTGCAGTGCATTAGCTACACGAAGTAGTAAAACATAGTACTTTTCCGCACATAAACCATACTATTTCCTGTCATCAAGATAAGATCACAAGCTACAACTCTCAGTATTTGTCATTTGGAAAAGAAGCGGTTACGCATAGTGTCAGAATTATATATATTGTATATATATTGTATATATATATATATATATATATATATATATATATATATATATATATATATATATATATATTCATGCTAATCTTATGTTATGCTGTGTTTCACCGGTTTCTCATCAGCTGCTTCAATCTAAAAAGAACTAAATATATCATTATACAAAAGAATTTCAACAAACGTTTTTTTTCAGCAGGATGAAGTTAGTTATCAGGGAACGACATGGTTTAATAAGGAATACAAACAAACATCCAGATAAAGTTGACAAGATAGGTTATGAAGCCTCAGTTAAACATCCAGTTGAAGAAACCATGTATTATTCCAGATATTATTTTGATTATCTGAGGCAGCTGTGGTTTGACAGACTAGTATTGATACTAGATGATGGTTGGAGGTGAAATGATAGTTTGAACAACGGCTGGATTCGAACCAGCGAACACCAGGTTTCCGGTCCGATGCTCTACAAACTGAACTACGAGGTCCAACTGCTGTAGTAATGCGTTATGAATTCACATGGTAGTTGGTCAAGACCCTTGATGATTAAAGTGAAATAAAGATCTGGTCAACAGTCGGACCTCGTAGCTCAGTTGGTAGAGCATCGAGCTAAGAACTTGGTTGTCTCTGGTTCGAATCCGACCGTCAGTCACCACCCAATATTCCAGATATTGTCGATGATGCGTTTACTGTGTGTAGTGGCCTACGTCATGCACCCCACCTACTTGAACTCTTCGATAATGCTCATGAAAATATCGACTTCACAATGGAACATGAAAGTACTGATAAGTTAAGCTTTTTAGACATTTCCTTACAACATAGAAATGATGGTACTCTTCAAAGGTCTATTCATTGAAAGAGTACATGGAATGGATTATAGATAAATTCCAACAGCTTTCATCTAGTCAATTTTAAACAAGCATTGGTCAACACAGCTTTACAGAGCTTTAAAGGATATGTTCAAGTGATAAATTGGAAGAAGATTTGATAAGTATTGAAAAGACCATGGTAGACAAGGGTTACCCTCTGAGGTTTATCAACAAATGTGGAAGATCTAAAAACAAAAAGTGAAACAAGTTACAGTAAGCAAGACGCTTGTTTTCATTGAACTCAACTTCACAGGCGAAAATGTCTCCGTAAGAATTAATAGAAAGCTGAATGCCACACTGAACAAAACATATCCTGAAGTCAAGTTGATCTCTGTCTACAAAACAATATGCTCATTGGAACAACCTAAAGTGGACAGGTTCCTTCCCCATGTTACATCTAATTGCGCATACAAGTTTACGTGCATCCGCGGTAGCATTTACATTGGAAGGATAGAGAGAAGGGCATGCCTTGAATTCTTTGAGTATGTACCAACATGCCTGGGTCTCAAAGGAACAAGTGCTTTCAGTAGTGCAGTCAGTCCGTAACTTATCGACACACAGCATCAAGTAGATACCTTAGAATCCTTCAAGGTAATCAACAGACAGCGTGATTCAAACCTTCTCAATTTTGCTGAAGTTGTAGCGATCAAATGACTGAAACAGGAATTGTATGTTCAAAAGAAGCAGTCATAAGTCCTTCTTTACCCCCGCAACCTAATAGTTTACCCTTCCTCTTACTTGATAGCGTCGTCTTTTGACTAAACCTTCTGTTTGTGTGTACATAGTCTTGACAGTCCTTCTACCAACTGAGTTCAACTGATTTCATCGTATCATAATTCGCCTGTTCTTCATCATCAACTAGCCGACTTGTTATGCTTCTTACGTAACCCTTTATTACTGTCCATATTCTTTTCTCGAACTCTATTGAGACGGATATATAATTGAAATTTTTTAGCAAGTATTGTTAATTGTATCTGGATGTTCATATTCCTGTTCAAACCATGTCATTCCCTGTTAACTAACCTAATGTAACTGCAAAAAATTATGTTCGAATTCTTTTGTAACTTGATATTTAAATACGTTTAGTTTGTAAGCAGCTGATGAGAAACTGGAGAAACAAAATGATACCATGTTATTCTGTTTCAGTCTCTATTCTTCCTCTATTCAAGTTCAAGTAATTTCTGTATTGTTTTTAAAAATGGAGAAGAGGTTAGGTAATTGTCAGTAGTCTGGATGAATCATTTGCTTCAGAAAGCAATGTCTTCTGTGTTGAAGCTGCTGTAGTTTTCTTCTTTGAAGTAGCCACTATATTTCTGGAAGGTGATTCATTAAAAACTTTGGTGTATGACATTAAATATTTGGCATATAATCATATTTCATGATTTGTGAGGAATTCAATAACTCGAAACATTCAAAGGCATCATTCTCAGTGAATCTGAGAAATCAGAAAACATTTAAATGACTGATTTAGAGTATAGACATCAGAACAAACTTTATTACCTAACTGTTTTATACTGTCCCATAAACGGATTTGTTGTAGGTAGATAGAGAATACAAACTTTATCAAGCATACAGTTTAATCTCTAAAATTCACAAGTTTTATTTAACTTGGACAAGACAAAAATTGAGGCAATGTCATCCAGTACCTCATTATTATCATTATCATTATTATTTGTCCCTTGGGTTCCTAATGGAACATAGGGCCTCAGTAGCACGTCTCCAGCGCACCCTGTTTTCTGCAAACTTTTCAACTTGGTTCCACGATAGCCTAGAAGCTCTCATTTCTTTCTCGTACCATTTCCTCCATGTCACCTACAATCGCCCAACTCGTCGTTTCCCCTTCGGATTCCACTCAACGGCCTGGCGTGTGATGTCTCCAATCGGCCTTCTCAGTGTATGCCTAATCCATCTCCACTTCCTTCTGCATATCTGTTGAGCGATAGGCTCTTGGTTGGTTCGTCGCCAGCCAGAGTGAGTTCCTTGTTGCTTATTCTTATTATTCTGGCCATCTGAGCTTCAGTAACGAGCCAGCGTAGGCAGTTGTTGATGAATGTCTGTAGTTTGTTGGAAGTGCTTTTCGTAACGTGCCAAGTCTCTCAACCATTCCAGAAGCACTGACTTGACTGACGTTGGTGTTGAAAATCCGGATGTTGTTGACGCTTTATGCTGAGTGGAGTGGAGTGCAGAAGATCTCCACACTGGTTCCAGGTTAATGAATGCCTGTCTTGCTGTCTTTCCGATCCTGGCTGGCATTGACGTCTTCGTCTGTGCCTGTGCCGTCTGTAGTTGAAACAATGCTGCCTAGATAGATGAAAGAGGCTACTTTTTTTAGTTTCTTCCGTTGATGGTGATTGGAGCTTGTTTTTGTTGTTGGTGGTGTTGGTTGGGTATCTTCATCACCTCTGTCTTCTCTACGTTCACCTGATGGAAGTCCCATCTTCGTTGTCCCGCTTCTTCTGTCAACTTGTTAGTTTTCACCTGTAGATCTTTAAGTTTGTGTGACACTAGACACAATTCATATTTGGCGAAATCCAAATCTTCTGGTGTCTTTTTAGTCCGGTCCAGCTTATCCCCCTCTTCTCTCTTCTCACTGTTTGTTGCATGACCCAGTCCACTACAATTAGGAATATCATGAGTGAGTAGTGTATTGTCTGCATGCTTTTACCAATAAATATATACAAAAATTTCTATGTATATCATAAACATAATGTCTAACAAGTCTCACTCATTACATGTCACATAAATTTGTGTTTGTATACATCAGGTCACATGCTTTATTCGGAACAATGTAATCGAAGTAAGTCTCTCTATTACCTTTTATTCATAACGTTTTACTCTACATATTTTCTCTCCAATTTGGAGGTTTTTAGAGATTTATTGATTTCATATTGGTACTCATCATTAGATTGACATGAGTTGGAGGAAGTTTGAACAGGTGTTTCGTCCTAGTATGGAACTCTTCAGCAGTGCGCACTCAGGACTTTCAGGTTCCATGACCAGAACATTACCATTAAGCCATTGGGTCTGGATCCAATGGTCTATATTTCCTACTTCTGTCAGTTCACGATATAGCACAACCTCCATCTAATGCCATCGTTGAGTAACTGTTCTGTTGTCCAACTTGGTTGGACATGACTTCACCCTGGAACTTCGGAAGTTACCTCTTGAAGGTAGTAACTAATAACCACTAGATTAATTCAGTCTGGAGGTTTGTAGGGATTTATTGGTATTCATTACAGACTGACTAGCATCAGTTGCAAAAACACTAGAAAGCTGTTTCGCCCTGGTGTGGGACTCCTCAGCGGTGCGCACCCATGTATTGATATGCAGGCTACATTCCCTTTGTTTTATACATGTCCAACCTTCGTCTTCGTAAAAGTTTCATCAACATTTTAAACATGATCATTTTTTTTTATCAAATACGATAACGCTTGCAGATAGTATTAATAATTTTAAGGACATTATCATTTCAGATTGTTTTTATTGTTTATTTAACTGGATTTCAGTTTCGAGATTTGTGGGGATCTCATCATGGACTGACATCAGTTGGAGCAACATTGGAAATCTCGGAGCATTGAACAGATGTTTCGTCCTAGTATAGAACTTCTCAATCTGTGACAGGGTTATGGGTGTGTACCACTGAGGGGCCCTGTGCTAGAGTGAAACAGTTGTCCATCCCTCCTACAGCTTCGTTTCGACCTACCATAAGGAGCCGTTGTTAATTATACCCTGCCTGATATGTTTTGTTCTTGAAGATCATAAGACTACCAGTGAATCTGTATTTCACTAACTAAGCTCCTCTTGCGTTTTTTATGCGAATCGTTCTGTGGCGCACTTGGGTAAATTGGCGATTTATATATCTTTGAAAAAATCTATTCGATGCTCTAATTCCTGTTGTCGGGTGATTCATTTCTTAAAGTTTTGTATTACTGGCTACTGTGAACTTTTCAACAATGGGAGTATGTGCTCAAATATACTTCAGCGTCATTACTCTACTTAATTGTAGAGTAGCATAAGTTCCCCTGTACAATAGGTATTCTTTAAAGTTTCCTACTGTAGCACTTTAAAAGAAAGATAATTACATGTATTTCTATAAAGAGCATAAACTTTCTGTAACCGCATCTATCAAATTGTAACAGAATGTTCAATAATATTCATCGATTCTTAACTTGCCGTGATCACATCCACTGTTGGTTATCATCAGCTACAAACAGTCTAGAATCGCATTAAATATAACTTATACTGGGTGATGATTGAAAGTGAGATGGAAATTTGGACTGCGCCTGGGTTCGAACCAGTGACAACCGAGTTCCCGGCCTGATGCTGTACTAACTGAGCTACGTTGTCCGACTGCTCACCAGATTTTTATTTCACTTCAATCACAAGCGGGTTTTGCCCGACTACCATGTGAATTCGTGAGGCGTTACAACCGCTGGCTGTCTAATCAGGACTTCTCATCTCAATCCAAATAGAACTGAATTAGAGAGGGGGAGCATCATATTGATTATCATCTGACTATCTGGGATAACCGTAGTTTGGCAGACTAGTATTTATACTGGGTGGTAATTGAAGGTTAACTGAAAATTAGGAACGCGGTCGGATTCAAACTAGTGACCGGCGACACCAGTCTGCCAACCCACAGCTCTTAGATAGCCAAAGTCATAATTATATACATTTGTTGATGGCCTTGGAAAGCTCTACACTTTTCCAGAAAGCCTCTTAAGCAATCTGAGTCGTACACATATGATCACATGGTTTTTTTTTCGAACTTTCGACATGCTATGACTGACTGTAAAAGCTTTTCAGGGATTTCCAAGCTTCTTTGAGGAATCTAGAGGATATTGTTGCACTCTATAGCAGTTGTCTAGAGTAGTAATTTGAACTGATGCACTTCTTTGCGAAGTCCCACGTTCACCTGTCTACCATATATTATGAGATAAGTTTGAAGAAATTTGGGTAGTATTTTGAGATAGGCTTTGCGCTAACTATTCTATTTAAAATAGTCTTTACTCACTTTCTCAGATTTACAATTGTATCTTGTGTCTAAGTAGGTCAGTTTATCAGAAGGAATAATTGATATCGATGGGCAAGGAAATAAATGATCTAATGAATTCAGAAATTTCAGTAGCACTCGTCAGCTAGATACTCTACATACTTGATTACATATAACTGTTAAGCAATGGAAAGGAGCATACATACATACATATATAACGTAGACTGAGACAGATTTAGGTGTAACAACGTAGAAGTAAATAGTATGATTGCTTTTATATGATACCGTCGTTGATTGGACCGAATCGATCGGTCTCTATCGGCATATGAGCTCCTGTGCGGATGCCTCGGTATTGCCTGCTTTCTAATTATGTTAATGATGGATTGTGGCTAGCAGCTGTCCAGTGCTCCCAGGTTTCTTTTGTCCCTCCAACTGATGTCAGTCTACGATGAATAATAACTTGAATTATGATAAGAACCACGAAGGTAGCATGGAAACATAGACACTTCGATGATCAAAAGTGGACCAAAAGGTTGGGAAAGTAAAAGTTACGTAATACTGAAGGATAAGGCAAGTGGATAAACAAAATCTAAACAAATATAGGAAGTATATGAAAGGAGTGAAAAATAGGAAAGGGGTAGGAAAAAATTTCAATGATATAGGAGAGATAAGGGATGTACAAACTTCTTCTGGATACAAAGACTAAGATTCATAGCTGGAAATCCTACAGCTTCTGATATGTGTAAAAGGTGAGTTCGAATACCTTTGGAAAAATGAGGTGGTACACGGTGAATAAACGTGAAAGCATTGTTCTTATCTACCAGGTGACTACTACTATCAACGACATGAGATAAAACAGAACTTCTGTTGGATTATGTCTGTCCCTTTCCCCCAACCATAAAGGTAGATGCTCAGCAGCATGTTTGTTAAGTTGTTTAGTAGTACACTCTATATAGCCTTTCTCCATAGTAGCAGCTGAACTTTTTAATACATATAGAAATAGGAAAACTAGATACCTTATCTTTTGTTTGAACAACAACAATTGGTCGACTGATAAATGATAGAGACGGAGTTGTACGGCGTAGAAAGTCCTCCTAATGGCTCTAGAGAGTCTCTGTTGTAAAACTTCTCCAGCTACATTTCCATTAAATGTCACTTTCATGAACAACAGTTTCTTTTATATTAACCTATCTGTATTAGAGTAAAGCCTGAAGAGGATCTAATTGTAAACAATATTGTTCGCTTATATGTCTTATTCTATGAATGTTTTGTTCTCATAGATATTGCTTATATTACATTATCATTTGCCTTTTAGAGTACATTGTTGAGACAAAAAGAATTGCAGAATATGAAGTTGAACGTATTCAACTACTAACAAGTAAACTAAAGAAAATTTATTCAATCTTTGATTATTCAGAAAAATGTTATACATTTGTTTCTGTGATATATTCCTTTGAATCTGTTGAATACCACTATTCAATTAAAGGTTTGTAGGGATTTATTGATTGATTTCAGGTTGGAATTCATCATGAACTAACATTAGTCGGAGAAATATTAGGAATCCGGGAGCACTGGACAACGGTTTCGTCCTAGTATGGGGCTCCTCAGCAGTGCGCGCGTGTGACCCCACCGGGGATCGAACCCAGAACCTTCAGGCCCCGTGGTCAGCACGTTACCATTGAGCCACTGGATCGACATCCAGTGGTCCACATTTCCTACTTCTGTCAGTTCACGATATAGCGTACCTACATTCAGTATCGTCGTTGAGTAACGTTCCTCATGTTTGACCACCGGGTCGCTAGTTTGAATCCCGCCGCAGTCCAGATTTTCATCTCACCTTCAATCCTCACTCAGTGTAAAAATATAGTTTCTGCTAGACGTCGAGAAAATTGAATATCAGCTAGATCATTTCGTCGCGATTACGTCCTACCAGCTAACATCTATCCAAGTGCACGGCGATGCTGAGCCTTCTTGCTTGGTGGCCACATTGCGAAAAATGTTCGATAGAATTCGGTCAGGACTCAGTACTATACAACATGAAATTGGTTGCTATCTCAAAAAACCAACCAACGAATGTAACCCAGTCGCATGGGAAGTCAATCGTGGCTCGAATAGGTCAGTGGTAACGTCGCTGACTTCAACACTGGATGATGCTGGTTGGAATATCAGGCGGGATATCAGTTCTACCGAGGTTGCAGATATGTCTTACTGACGAGTGTTAACAAGTAAAAAACCTAGGTTCAGCCAGAGCTTCCTCCTTATTGCCTCCAACCAACTAACTAGAAATCTTATTTCAGAGAAAGAAAATTTCTCATTCACTTTTTTCATTCTTCACCTAAAACTGATTATTTGATATCATCATCTCTACTTGACTTGTATTTCACTCCAGAACTGAACACTTAACTGAATAGGAAGATGATTAACACACAGGTGCTTGTCGCCTATTTTTTTAAAACATTTTTCACCCCTGTGACGTATGTAATTTTGCTTCAATTCATTCTTTTCTTTAAAAATCAATATATGACTTCGTTCTACTGTATTCTGTACACTGAATATAACTTAAGTGTTGTTTGCCTCATAGTAAGTTTGCAGTGAAATTTTTAAGACACATTTTACTGTAGATACGATTTGTCAGATTGAGGTGCTTAAGTTTTGGCGGCCCGCTTAAGCTTTGAGCTACCAATAAAATTTTCCATCAGATATACTATATCAAATTTCTCTTTTTCATTTTGTTTTAATCTATTAAATATGTCCTTTAAATGTATCATATACTCCTGCAAGTTTTTAAAATGTTCTGAGCTAGTCGTTTTTTGAAGTAATAACAAAACGAAAGGGAAATGTCATACTGAACGAAAATTGGCTCTTGAATGCAGGAAAAATATCAAATTTCTTTTCTACGGATACCCATGTTGAATAGTACATTCATCAACAGCTGCCTACGCTGGCTTGTTACTGAAACTCAGATGGCCAGAATAATAAGAATAAGTAACAAGGAACTCACTCTGGCCTGGCGACGAACCAACCAAGAACCTACCGCTCAACAGATATGTAGAAGAAAGTGGAGATGGAATGGGCATGCACTGAAAAGACCATTCGAGGACATCACGCTCCAGGCCGTTGAGTGGAATCGAAAGGGGAAACGATGTGTTGGGCGTCGGAGGCGAGGGTAACATGGAGGAGATGATGTGAGGAAGAAATGAAAGGTTGTGGGCAATCGTGTGTCAAGGTTCAAAAGACTGGAGAGAAGAGAGTGCAATGGAGGTGTGCTTTTCAATCCCTATGTTCCACTAGGAACCCAAGGGAAAATAATAATAATAATAATGTTGTTATTATGAACATCATTCGGATGCAAGCATCACTTTGTTTGAAGATGTTGTTTTTGAGGTGAATTTGTTAAATCATTATATACTGAAAATTCCATACTGTACTAAACATATTGTTTGGAATAAAGCTATTATTACTAATTATTTACTCTGATATCAACGATGTTCCTGTATCTCAACTTTGATTCGAACCCACCACTCATCACTTCAAACATCACATTGTTATCCATTCGGCTAGTGCTTCACGAAAGACACGTCTTATGCAACAGTTCTCATTTGTTTATCCTTGAAACTCGAAGTCTCGATAACAGCTTGGTAATATTTACTTGACCTAAATAAGTGTAACTAAAATGCAGTTAGAAAGTATGTAATCTTTTGTGCAGTAGGCAATGAGACACACCTATAGTATGAGGGGTAATTATACTATCTGATCACCCAGACCTCGGTAGGTTAAGCGGGGTTCAAACTTATAAATCAATTTTTGAAAGCTGATTGCTTACGCCAATGGAACACATCTCTTTATGTAACCGTTATCCAGTTCAAATTACCCATATATATCTCAATGACATTATAAGCATCCTTCTTTGAAATATATTCTCATGATATTTCTATAAAACTGCTTGCGAATTTTCCTGACAAATCATATCTCTCACTCGTCGTAGCGTCTTTTCCATACAAAATTTGAAAACTAACCCTTAGAAAATAGCTAAGTCTGGTTATTTCAGAATTAAAAAAGGTGATAATTCATAAGAAGTGAGGAAAAGACGCATAACAACTGCAAATAAGTCTAAGACACCGATATCAAGCACTCCAGTCAAGTTTCTATATGAGACTTACTACTATGTTATGATCCAACTTGCCAATGTCATATCAGCAGGTCAATTTACAAGGCAAGGGGAAAGACAAAGACATCCTAATGATATGAATAAAAGTCGTAGAAATCTATAAAAAGACAAGAGTAGGTGAAGCGAATGACTATTCGGATGAAGAAAAAGCATGGATGCATATTGAAGTCATTGAGATCTTGAGTCTGCAGTAATTGATTTCAATTTTCAATCAAGAAGTCTACATTTCTCTGTATGATTTCAACTTCACTGACTGACACTGCGTTCTTAGTCCAGTGATTATTTGTGGATCATTGTTTTAAGCACTTGATATCCTTCACGAGACCTAAACCCCCACCCCATCGACCAAGGTTTTGGTCAGCCAGATAGTATCACTAATCCTCTGAGGATCGATGTGGATCATTGCCTATTGCACGGACTTATATGTGGTTGTCGAATACATTCTGATTTCGCTCACGGGTCATTCCTAACCTCTTTGCAGCCTAGTCGTAGTTGTAATGGTTCATGATATGCATGAACACTAGTTTTCGATAACTCATTTCCCAGATACCTCAGCCGATAAAGTCTACGTTTTCACTGACTGACGTACGTCCATTACCTAAGGTTGTATATCTAATACGTGTTTGTTGGTTACATAGCAATAGTGAAGCCATGTCTTACTGCCTAACAGGACATACAGAACTGCTGCTTAGTACATTGGATAGCGGTATCTAGATATCTTATCATCAGTGCAATGCGTAGGGTAAGTTGGTGGAAGCCAGTGGATCCGTCTCTATCCGTTCACATAATTTCCCTAGCTACCGACTCACTAGGAGAACTTCTTCTGGACCACTCCACGGAAGTCAGATAATTTCTAACAATATCTCGCACCTGCAAGTGGTAGCTACAGTGTTAAATATACTTTATAAACATTAAAGGCAATCCTGTAGTATATACATTTCTTTTCTTGTCTGTGTTTCTTTTTTTTTTCTACTTCAATTCGTAGATATTTCAGTCTTGTCTAGTGAAATTTCGCGGAAGGATACGATGTATGCATATTTAGAAACAAAGCATAAACAATTGAAAAATATAACACATCAATTACGTTTAGGTAATCCTTTTTGTTTTGTTTCCTACTGTGATATTTTGCTAAATTGTTTTTCAATTCCACATTTAAATAGGAAATATATCATTCTGATGAGATATTTAGCATTTGACATGTAAAATGAAACAAAACTCTGAAGGGTTTTCTGCCTAAATACAACGTATTACCCGTATACATGATAATTTTCTGCCCAACTGTTAAGGTTTCATACACAAAATAATGATTTCTTCGCTTGGATCGATTATCCAGGACTTTATTATTATTATTATTAGCGAGTGGAACAATTATGAAGTTAAACACTAAGTGCGAAAAAGCAAACAATAAACATAACTCCTACATAACGATGAATATTGAGAGATTTAGGGGATAAAGTTGAGCTTAACCCTTCTTCAGTCAACATTTTCGGCTTCACAACTATGATAAGTATTCACTTTTTTAATATATTACTTTTTATAATTTAAAAGTCCTCATAGATTACTCAGAACAAGAATAATTTGAGCAAACAACTGTCTCCAATAACTTCTTCTTCAAGCTCTACAGGTATAAATTCATGAGTGAAATACAATAGCCAAAATAAGGCATGATGTACAATTTTATTATATTGTGTGTTAGTTGTGCGATGAAATCAATATTGACAGAACAATTACGAAATGAGACGAAATCTACAGATCATCATTCATTTATATACATTTACTGGGTCATGGATGTGTGTATTTTTTTACTAAGGGTCAAATAATAATTATGTAGTAATGACTTATATTCAGTCAACTCTCTACCTCAACTTGATCGACTTTGAAAAGGCCTTCGACAGCGTCGACCGAGAAGTAATTTGACAGGCAGCTGCTTCAACACTACGGAGTACCACAGATCTTTGTCAACCTCATTCAACAGCTATATGAAAACGCCACATGCTAAGTAATCCACAATGGAAAGCTCAGTGATACCTCTGAAGTGAAGAAAGGAGTAAGACAAGGCTGCCAACTATCACCGATGATCTTCCAGATTGTGGTGGAGTGGATCATGCAGCAAACCGTGAGGAGCTGTGAGAAGATGGGCATACGCTGCTTGACCGATGAAAAGACCCTACACGATTTGGATTTCGCCCATGACTTACGTCTGATGTCGCACAAACTCGAAGATCTACAGGCGAAAACTAACAGGTTGACAGAAGAGGCGGGGTAGCAAAAACGGGACTTCAAGTGAATGTAGAGAAGACGGAGTTGATGAAGATACCCAACCAACACCACCACCAACAACAACAAGCTCCAACCACCATCAACGGGCGAAACCTGATGGAAGTAGTCTCTTTCACCTACCTAGAAAGCATCGTTTCAACTACAGACGGCACAGGCACAGACGAGAATGTCACAACCAGGATTGGATAGACAGCAAGACAGGCTTTCATTAATCTGAAATCACTGTGGAGATCTAGTACACTCAGCACAAAGAACAAGATCCAGATTTTCAACACCAACGTCAAGTCATTGCTTCTATATAGTTCAGAAACTTGGCGCGTTACGAAAAGCACTTCCAACAAACCACAGATATTCATCAACAACTGCCACCTACACTGGCTCGTTACTGAAGCTCAGATGGCCAGAATAATAAGAATAAGTAACAAGGAACTCACTCTGGCCTGGCGACGAACCAACCAAGAACCTACCGCTCAACAGATATGTAGAAGAAAGTGGAGATGGAATGGGCATGCACTGAAAAGACCATTCGAGGACATCACGCTCCAGGCCGTTGAGTGGAATCCGAAGGGGAAACGATGTGTTGGGCGTCGGAGGCGAGGGTAACATGGAGGAGATGATGTGAGGAAGAAATGAAAGGTTGTGGGCAGTCGTGGACCAAGGTTCAAAAGACTGGAGAGAAGAGAGTGCAATGGAGGTGTGCTTTTCAATCCCTATGTTCCACTAGGAACCCAAGGGAAAATAATAATAATGATGACTTATATTCAATTGGGATGGAAATTTTATGAATACTATAAAGTATTGAAGAATAAGAAATGTGAGGTGTTATTACACCACGGTTGAAAATGACTACTGGTAGTAGTATGAATAAAGGCATAAACCTAATAAAACATAAGAAAATGAATGTTTATCATTGTAATGACAATATAGAAGAAAGAGATGAGAAATTAAAATGTGCAATTTGTGGTAGTAGAGTTCATAAATATCGTGTCAACCCTATTGTGGACCAAAGTAGACAAAGTGTATGTACATATTTCTTTTAAACACATAGGTCCAGTTTTCTTGCGTTGGTCCCTATGACTTCGGCTGTGGATAAGATGCGTAGTTGTGTACCTTTAGGGAGATTGTAAGGGACACGATATATCACAGAAAAGGTATGATCTACCTTAATCTGCTGCTTGGTATCTACTTAGTGTGAGAGGATTGCTCCTGCGGAGCTCGTTACATAGGCCGTACTCAAAGGGCTCTATCTACGTGCACTCGTGAATATATACCATCTTGATTAGGGAAAAGAATGACAAAGAGCATAAACAATGTACTCTCATGGATTTGTAACACTTTTTAGTTGGATATTCAGTAGGATTGGAAATGTGTTCTGAGTTTACTTTTTTAAGAATTTCCTGCATTGCATAGACACTTTTATTGTGTTCACTGTATCTTCTGAAGCGTAAGCGTTTCACAGTTTAATTTTGAAACTCACGCTATGATAACCATTGCTAACATTGTGTCAGCTGATCATTCAGTTAGTTAGCACGAACACAGAACTACTCGAAGCCAATTGGGAAGATCCATGCACATCCCAGCCACATTTATGGATAATGAGCTACCAAAAAGAAAGTTTCTGATAGTATCTATCAGCAACCATGCAGTTGGTTTGCAGTTGGACACTGTCAGATATGACCATCATTTCTGATAAGCTGTAGCGTGATATTGGCTCACTTCCTTTACAAGAGACCAGTGAAGGCCACATCGAGTGCATGTGGAGGCCATCTCCCATTGTCCGGTAAGCTCGCATGTAATGTCTTCTTCAATGGTCATTTAATTAATGGAACATGCTATGTTGTTAAAGCCAACTTAATTTACTGGGTTTGGATTGGTTTGACCGTCAATACCCTCTGTAACCAGGTGCAAAAACCTTCACAACCTCCTGAGGTCATTGAATAATTGTAGATGTTTTCCAACCTAGTTTTGATCAGTCCACAGAATCTCCCGCCGTATTATGTCTTCAATCTGGTATCAACCCAATCTTCCACTGGATGATACGGGTGGCCTATGTTTCAACCCCTTAACAGTCACCAGTAGAAGCGCTGACGAGGCGTAGACTGCTCACAACACATCACGCTACGATGCCTAGAACTTCTACTAAACTATTTAATCATTATACAATATAAAACAAAAAAAGTACCTCAATAATGCCACCTCAGCATTACGAATATCAGAATATCATCCTGTATAACAAAAAGGGATCAGTAAGTGGTGAAAATCACACACAACAAATTGATAATATTTCCAACAAAATGGAATCAAAATTCTGTCTACAAGAATCAAATCAAGGAATAAACATTTGAAGCAGACAGACAAAGGACAAGCGCAGTAACTTAACAGCGCAAACTTGAGTAGTGGAGCCAAAACAAAATGTCGGGAATAGTAAAACACCATTCTGTCAAAAGTCCACCATCACACAATAGAAAAGTGGAGCATTAAGGATAAGTCTCAATCAAAACAAAGGCAAATGGTGAGTGTTAAGTCAAAAAAAAACGGCCAAATTGTAAGACAATATTAAACACAAATCAGGAGTAAAGAATAATAATCCATAAGGAGGCTAAGATATTCAAATAAATGTCAATATTGTCAAATAGAGTGCTCAGGAAGGGTTTTCAAGTCATTTATTGGGTTACACCGATCGCCAAAATCCCTCCAGACACGCAAAGACACCTCTAAATGCATCCAGTCGTGCCTCTGCCTACATACATGTATCTATAACCCATATATCCTAGACTCCAAGATGACCCAGTTCACAGTCTCCATCCTATTCACCTCACCATGACTATTTTCTAATGACTTTATCCTACTATCCACATGATTTTCTTCAAAATGGTCCGTGGATGGAGGGAATCTACGGAATGAATCATGGTAATTATCAAAAGGAACAGAGGGTCTGGGACGATCATAGTAAGGATCACCTTACTTTGCTCTTCCTGTACCTGGTGGGGAACTTTCAAAAGAACGTGAATGCGATTGATACTGGCGTGGATCCCTGTCTCGAGGCCTTACTGGTCTATCAAAGCTAGACCCTTCAACCCTGTAACATCAGAACACGAACAACTAAGCATCTCCCCTCTGGTAGTAGCTTCTGCATAAAGAGATGGATGTGCTTGTTTCGCTTTAGTCTTCAGCAGATGCTTCATTTACAGCGCGACGACAGTTGTTTTCGTTCAAAGATAAGCTTACTACCTTTATGAGGATGGTCATCAAAGCTGAGAGCTCGGTCATCATAATAAACACGTATCCAGTAGGACGTTGCAGCAAGTCTTCCCCCAATCTGTGCCCCACTCCGGAACAACTTGCACCCCAAACAATTTGTCGAAGATGGTTTTTATTCCAGCTTCTGTACCAGACAGACAAACACGAAGTACAGATTCAAGTTCCTCGGAGACCAGATCAGATGGATGACCGTACGATAGAGGTGGAGGTTGACCCTTTCGAGGATACTCTTCATAATCCGAAGCAAGAGGTTGGAATGAACGCTTGGGTTTAGCACTAGGTGCATCATCACTAATCCATTGGGGCTTAACTGAGAAATCACGGTCATCTTGCATTCGAGGATTAAGGTAGGCAGTTTCTCGGTCAAGCGGATGGGCTAGACCGGCCCTGGTTTCTAAGTGACAAGCATGGTTGTCTCAGCTTAATTCTCGCGGTTGAACATCAAGTGGAGAGGATCGATCGCCAAACGACCTAGTAGATGGTGCATGATACGTACCATAATCCGGAATGATACCATCCGAAAAATGACCAGTGGGGTAGCGGTAAGCATCAGGATTTCTCGCGCCATTTCTAACGCCAATGTCTTGTCTCCTAGGAATGAAGTTATCTTCAAGTATGGGGGACAGAGGGTGCCAACTGTAGTCATAGTCTTCGTGATATTGTCGATAGAGTGGGTCACTGCGATCATTCATATACCAAAATCACGAACAGGTGGCAACTCCGGGACGTCGTTAAACCTAAGAGGTATATCTGGTTGGTTGTTGTAACCATAACTTCAGTCACTATCTGATGGTAGGCTGTTATGGTAATCGTCAGACCTGTTGCGTAGTGTTGTATCCAACTGTGCACAAGGCAGTAAATCCACAGTTGGTGCAGTCACTTTATTTTAGGGGTAAGCAAACTGGCTAGAACAGTCATCAAACGACTCACTAATAAGCCTGTTCCCATAAGATGGAAACGAACGCAGGAGTTACATCCACTGTATGTGCTGTTTCAGTCTTATGAGGGATATGTTGGGAAAGACTTGGGTTTACCTCACCAGGAAACCAAGCTAAAGTTCTGACAGATTCGATAACAGATTAGATTTCAGTTCTGTCACAAAACAGTACATTGTTTGGTGGTTCATGCGTAGGAGTGTTCCAAGAGTAAGCAACACTTCCATAACTAAGCTCAAAGGCATCAGCAAGTAAAGGCAATTCAATCTTTTAAACACCATATCTATCCTCACTCCTAATACCCCTTGACACAGCTATTAGTCAGAGATTTCGCGCAAACAGCAAACAATCTATCCACAAGGGTAGGTCACTGTAACTCATAGGTTGATCCCAAACAATATAGGACTTTTAAAACCCTTTTGAAGAGTTGCTTGGTGGGGTGGGAGGGGGGCAAACCAAATCTACTGAGTCAAGCAGAGTCGGGACAATGTTCAAAGATTTCTCACTGTAGTCAGACCGAAATTTAAAAACACTATGTGTTACGTTACTTTCATTTGAAGACCTGAGACTATGTGGTTGGAACATCTACTCATGCGCAAGTCAACGGAGGTCTCCATGTTGTTCAAATTTGGAAGAATCACTCCTGCTACCTCCGAATTAGTCACTCACCTTTTTAGCTTGAATCCTGTCGTCATCATCTGATTCAACCATCTCACAAACTTTCTCTCAATAACCTCGCGCGCCTTCTGTTTACAATAATGTAGCAAATACAATAAGCGATGATCAACATACCCCATATTTGATGAAATACACAGTTTAAAATTGCCGGTAGGCAGCTGGTCCTCCGTCAAAAGCATATAATTCTACTTTTGGGAGGTTGGGGCATATTTTAATCGAGGACAAGGTTACATTTGTTTCCTTTCTTTCATGGCTGCTCACTTCATAAGCATACTCGACATAAATACGATCTTATGGTTCTCAGACACTGTTTGATTCCAAGAGATAAACAAACTCATTGGACTATTCCAGTTGATTTTTATTTGCATATGAAAGAGATTCTACTTTATCCCTTAGCTCTTGTTGAAGTTTTAGCATTTCTTTCCGATGTTTATCCTGCAACTGCGGGAACTCTAACTTGTCTGTCTCGTAATCTGGCTGATGCAAATATAGTTCTAGTAACAAAACGGTGATAGACTAGTCTATTGTAACAGCTACGACATAAGAACTTATCAACAGCCACTTGCCGGTTTACAGGAGGAATATCCGTCTTGTCCACATGGACCATGTTGGACACTGAGTCTATGTTGCGCTATCTATCCTATCTCTGTATACTACTGTGAAGTGTAGCAACTTGAACCGATGCACTTTTTTGTGAGGTTCTACTTTGATTTTTTCAGTTAGTCAGTTAGTAAAATAAGTGCTACTCTACAGTGAGTGAATCTATGAAAAGTTTATAACTTGAGGACTGGAGACCGACTCGTTCAAAAAATTATCCAAGTAATAAACTGATTCTTAATTCTTAAGTTGAAATATATATCCAGTGACGTTATTCATTTCTCACCGTTTCAAGTGTATCGCTAGTGGATAGGAGATGGTGTAACTGACTTTATAGATTTGGTTAATTTAAATCGACCAGTAGACAGAGTAGCCAACCCAGTTGGCATAAATTAATTCCCATGGTTGATCAGTTAGACGATTAACTCCGATTTTATTCAATGTTAATTGGATATAGTAATCGATAGGTATGTCTGTGCATATATTTCGTTACTTTTGGCATTCTTTTGCAAACCTAATTCGATCAGAGTCGAAAACATTGTGGTACCGAATTGTTTCTACAATTGAACTATTCAAGAATTCGAAACAATTAGTCCCTTTTATTAATTTGGATAATGTAATTAGAAGACGTAGATTATCTGAAAAATGTGATGTATTAGCGCTATACATTTCTAACAATCTGATCACACATTTACTTGTTAAGGCATTATATATGAAAACTGGAAGTGGGGGAAGGATATATATGACATAGAGGAATTCAATAATAAGAAAGATAATGAGAGGAATAAAAGATAGGACTTGAAGACAATCTTGGTAATACGATAAAATAAGCATTACTAAGGTAGGCTTAATGTAAGGACAAACTGTTTTTGCACACACAATGGGGGGTTAAATTTATTTATGACTAGCGCCTCAACAAACTTAACTATACGCCTCTGACAGTTTCTATACAAAATTGTAAAGGCTGTTTTAATATCAGTTCTGTGACTCTTATCAATGATATGTTTTGCAATGTATGATGATGGTTGTCTGCCATCTGTGCTTATCAATGTTTGTGAATCCAGCTGCTTTCGTAGCCACTTTGGAACATGTTCCCCTACCCTCAAGTGCATATCACAATTAGTCCTCCCTATGTATGTTTGTCCACACACACATGTAAATTTATTAAAGCAGTGGGATGTGACGCAATCGTTTATGCAGCGTTGAGGTCTAGGTTGCAGCAGGTGTTTGGTCTTCTCAACTATGATAAGCTTAGCTGCATAGTACGTTTTGCTAACAGCAGACCTTAACCTTCGTTTTAATATTATGCTATTAGATTCTCCTCTGTATGGTAACGCGATGTAAACGCATTTCTTGGAAACAGAGTACAGATGAGGTTTGAATCCTTGCTGATTTTTGCAGTGGTTTATAAACTTCAACGAATATCCATTTTCCACTAATTTTCCCGTTAGTATTTTGATATCATCATCCATTGAGTCTTCCGTACAAATACGCTGGATCCTTTTAAATAGACAAGTTATCAAACCTCGCTTGTATTGGGTTGGACGAAAGCTATGGAAACTGAAATACTGACTTGTCCTTACATTAAGCCTACCTTGGTAATGCTTATTTTATCGTATTACCAAGATTATCTTCAAATCTTATCTTTTTTTTTCTTCTCATTATCTTTCTTATTATTGAATTCCTTAATGTCATATTTGTCCTTCCTCCATTTCCAGTTTTCATATAAATGTGTGATCAGATAGTTCGAAATGTATAGCGCTAATACATCACATTTTTCAGATAATCTACGTCTTCTAATTATATTATCTGAACTATTCAAGCCTTACACTCCCTTCTTTATCATTCAACTTCATCTTCCTTATCTTTGGTTTTACTTGTGTTTTATTAATGACTGATGTTAGTTTGCTCATCATATCTACTCTGATGATTGGTTCCAATATTTATTGTTGAGTTGTAATTACTAAATTGAATTTGATTAATCTGTTTGTATGCATCTGATAGCATTAGTAGCGCACCATTTTTTCTATTGCTTTATTGTACAATCTTCTATCTAATAGAATAATTGATAGGTAGAAGGTGGTAGATGATTTGTATGTAAAATACTCTGTGATAAGATATTCCGTTGTAAACATTTATGTAAGAAGAAAAGTTACTGTCGAATGGAAACCTCTTTGACCAATGAATTCTTCCCATTTCTAAGTAAAGAGAAGTATGTTGCACTTTAAAACCTTCTTCTTTACTCTGTATTATATCATGCATATTATTATTCATGTTATTGTTTTTAAAACTGTAAAAATCACCTTTTTTTTTACAGATCTATCTACAGTTACAGCGGAATTACGCGATCGAACATCAGCTTATGGTAAACTGAAGTTAGACTACAAACATACGAAGGGAAAAATGAGAAAATTAACCAATGGTAATTTAATATTTATTAATTTTATGTCTTGTTTGTATTATACTAAGAAGTACCTTTCAAAAAAGGGGCATAAATTATATGTTTATTAAAACTAGTAGAAAGTTACTGAAGGTTGTTCATCTTCGCTATGTAGTATGCAGATGTGAAAACCTGATAGCATAAAAACCATATATGTTGCGTCATTTCTATAACATGTGTTGGCTGCTGAGTCAATGAACAAAGATTCAGTAATCAATCTCTTCCACCCCCTCTACTTAATTATATTAAACTTGAGTAGAATGGTCTTATCCCATCGTATTGTGTATTATTTGCGTCTATCATTTTATATTTAGGTTAATTCGCATATTCGGTTATTCTAAGTGAACTCAACCACCTAGGCTAGTTTTGACTTATGTACTTGACTCGACTCATATTCATTACATAGAATTTGTTAGATTCGATTATTATTTTGCCTAGTTGATTCTGTCAAATCTTTAAGCTAGCCGACAAAGTTTATCTCTGAGTAAGTTTGTAGATCAGTTTAAATGCCACCCTAATTTCAGCTTTGTTGAGAATCCTACATAAAGTTTCTGATGTACTTTCCTTATAGAGTAACACAATGGAGGTTATGAACTCCTTTCTACTTATGTTGTCGTTATTATTCGTACTTGTGTTATTGTTATTATTCTCTTTTAGTCTTCCTTAGAAGCTGTAAAATTGTATTTAAGCAGTTAATTAATTTCATTTGAAGGTTTGTGGAGGTTTATTAATTCAAGTTGGAATTCATTATAGACCGATATCAGTTGAAGGAACATTGAACACATGGGAACACTGGACAGCAGCTTTTTCGTCCTAGTATGCTACCCCTCATCACTGCGCACGCATGACCCCAACCAAGTGGCCCAATGGTAACATGCTGGCAACAGAACTTGAAGGTTATGGGTGCGCACTGCTGAGGAGTCCCATACTAGGACGAAACAGCTATCCCGTTCTCCCAGGTTTCCAATGTTCCTCCAAATGGTGTCACAGTCTATGATGAATTCCAACTTAAAATTAATTAATTTGTATATTTATTGCTAAAAATGTATCAGTATTCGTCAATCAACAACTCGAAATGCAAAACACTAAGAACAACAGTTATAGTTAGATTATTTGATTGGTTGTGGCTAGCAGAAGAATCCAAGACGCGTGTTCCATCCTATTTGAAACTTGTCAGTTGGATATACCTGCACCTCAGTCCTAAATAGGATGAAACGCGCGTTCTGGATTCTTCTCCTAGCCACAACTAACCAAATTATCATAATTAACATTCAGGCAGTATCCAGGCATCTGCATAGGAGTCCATATGCCAATAGAGATCGAACAATTTGATCCAACAAAACAACAGAGAATAACAAGTATGTCAATAAATAGTTATAGTTAAGTACACGGAATGAATCTTCTAAAACTATGTATCCATTGTTGACTAAATATTGTAGGATAAAACTTTCAATTTGGCTAAATTCACTCTTACTGAAGGTGCTTACATCGATGCTGAACAATCTATACCTCCATAAGAGCAGCTTAACTGATATACACATTCAAACAGCTAGCAGTGCCAGTTTGTTTTTCATAGAGGTGGTTTTTTGAGCTGTGGTATCGAATGTACTTTTAATGACTTTCACTACTAATTGATGTCATCAGTCCAGCGTATACCCATCCTCTCACAGCTCCTCACTGTTTGCTGCATGATCCAGTCCACCACAATCTGGAAGATCATCTGTGATAGTATGCAGCCTTGTCTTACTCCTCTCTTCACTTCAGAGGTGTCACTGAGCTTTCCATTGTGGATTACTTGGCATGTGGCGTTTTCATATAGCTGTTGAATGAGGTTGACAAAGATCTGTGGTACTCCGTAGTGTTGAAGCAGCTGCCTGTCAAATTACTTCTCGGTCGACGCTGTCGAAGGCCTTTTCAAAGTCGATCAAGTTGAGGTAGACAGTTGACTGGCATTCTATGCTCTTGTTCTATGATGATGCGTAGCGTTGCAATTCGGTCCGCACATGATTTGTACTTCCTGATTCCAGCCAGTCAGCCTATTCGGGTCGTAGTTTTGAATCCAGCGCATCCTTTAGTTTCTCCAGAATGATGCGGCATAATATTTTGGCTTAGGGTGAACAGGAGCGTGATTCCGCACCAGTTCTTGCAAAGACTTCGGTCGCCCTTCTTCGGGAGTTTGACAAGGTAGCCCTTCTTCCAATACGGCAGCAGGTACCTTTCCTTTCTTCCAGACCTTGTGCAATAGTGGTATGAGCATGTCCGCTGTTGTCCCTGCGTCTGTTCTCAGTGCTTTTGGCGGGATTCCATCTAGTCCTGCTGCTTTCCCGCATTTCAGTAGCCTGCCTTATGGCGTTCAGGACTTCGACTTTCGTTGGAGGGCTTGTGTTCACTAGTAGTTGTATGGCTGGCCCGCAGGTGGTATTTCTGGACGAAGTGCAGGTGGCGGTAGTGGTCAATTCAAGAGCTTTTTGAAGTGGTCTGCCCATCGTTTCCATTGTTACTCTTTTTTGGTAATTAGATTCCCTTCATCGTCTTTTATTGGTTTCATCTGTGTTGATCTTCTCCCAGATAATAATTCATTTCATTTATTTCATTAAATTTAGAAGAGGCTTTCAAAATTTCGAAGTAAACATCTTAATGCTTCACTGAAGTTTTGTTAGCACTATATAAGTGGAGAGAAAAGTTGTATATTCAGAAGTGAGCCTTCCATTCGCTTTTCTTATTCACTTATTAAGCATTGTAAACCCTACATCTAACTAACTCTTCTTATTGTTGTCATTTTGAACTATTTATTGAAATGGAATTGTACAGCATCTCAGAATGACATCAACGAAAATGAATTTCTTTTTTTATTGAAGTCCTTCTTTCTTCATAAATTTTTTAAAATATACCGATGTGGGGGTGTTCAAAATTTGTTGTTCTCTGAACTGTGGTTTTAGTTGTGGGACTTCTCAGTGTTATGCTAGACATGATAATCAGAACTTTGCAAAGAAGTGAGATAATTGCTTTTCCATGGATATTTATAACCTGCTACTTTGTCTGAATGCATTCTTATTGGTCACTTGGTGAGCGCGTGGGCGTTTTCCGAATCTGACTGGTTGATTTGCTGCCTCTGGTTTTCTCAGAGAGTTATGAATCAGTATCACTGAAAATTTTAAAAGTTATTTATTTTTGCTAAAAAATATCAAACGTCAATCATATGACACCTGGTTCTGAATATTATCGGGTCAAAATATTTTCTCGACAGTGAAAACAAATATACGAAAACAACTGGACATCTTGTTATTCAGTCTACCTACCATTTACTTCTAAACGTTTTATATGAATCTTAACTACTTAAAATTGTATCAGTTAGTTATTTCATTCAGTTGTTTCATTATTACTTAGTGAATATTAATGACTCCTGATCCATAACCCTAGTTTACCGGCCATGGTGATACGGTCTTACGTTTATTAGCCAAGAAGGTGGAGTAACTTCCTACTATGTGAAGAAGATTGTCTGTAGAATGACTGCTATGACTAGTAGTATGACGTTACAGTCAACGAGCGACACCGACCTAGCAGACTACGAACGATACAAACCTAACGTGCAAACGAGTTGACTCTAAATGCTAATCAAGCACAACAATATCACCGACACACCAAGCCAGGAAGAGAAGAAAGACCGTTGACAGAGGTCTTTTTACTGTCTCAACAACAGTCAATACAGTTGACAGCAATGCTGAATATATACATTTATAAATGACCTTGACAACACTAAATCCACATATAGGTTAGAGGAGCTAACAACCAGTGAGAGTTCAGCCTTGAGATTTGAGGGAAGAAAAGCTAGCAGCGATCTGAAAACAGCTATGTAGGTTATTTAAGGTTGTGAGCAAAACACAGCAGGTAATAGCTATGCAAAATCAGGGGTATATACCAATGATAAGAATAAAAACAACTACTATCATGATACAGGTGGTTTAAACTATGATAAGTATCGATGAGTTGAAGTCATATTGTCATTGCAGAGGATATCCAAAAGTCCTCCAAAGGTTTTGTGTTATTTCCTTCTTTGAACTTCAAGGAAAAACCTTTTATGATATCGATAGTCGAAAGCGACCAATCACCTTCATGCCTGTAATAGCACAAACCATTTCATCTTCATTCTTGAACCTGTTTTCCATATCTTCTCCTGTTATACCAACATTTTAGCGAATACAGATTTATACTGGGTGATAATTGAAGGTGAAATGAAAATTTCGACCATAGCTGAATTGGAACCAGTGACCATCGGGTTTCCGGCGCGATGCTGTACCACTTCAATCACAATTGGGGTTTGACCATACTACCATGTGAATTCGTGACGCGTTAGCACCGCTTGATCGTATTCACACTGGCTGCCTAGTCTCAGGATTTCTGATCCTTAATCCAAATCTAACTGAATCAGATAGAGGGAGCATCATATTGATTATCATTTTTTCTATCTGAGATAGCCGGTTGCAGTTTAGATTTTTCATCTCACCTTCAATCATCATCTAGTATAAATAAATACAAGTCCCAGATAGACAAAATCATAATCAATAGAATACAGATTTTATCAATTTGTTTACTATTCAAACCAATTCAACCCATTTTGAACTCGCTTTTTAAACTGCATAGTGAGACTTTGAACATGTTAACCGTATTTTAAGTTGGCCAATAACTGTTATCAGTTAATACTTTGAAATCCAAAATTGTGAATTTTATTGATCATCGAAATAGTCTTTGTAGATAGTGAAAAATTGACTAAGAACAATTTGACGAAGAAAAAGGTCAATAAAGTCATAAGTTGATATTGGTTAGAAGGTCATCATAAATTACTGATTGAATTACAATGAAAAAACAAATAAATAAATAAAATGAATTATTGTAATCCTATAAGCTATTATTGATGACCTTGAATTGACTTTTATCCGTTATAACCTTTTGTTTTCATTACCTACGGGGTAAGGCTAAAAGTTATCCCTAGATGTTATCTGTGCTTCCTATACATATTGTCCAATCGCTTGTGAAAATACCAACATTTTCTGTTTTTATATGAACATTTTAACTATTTGGATGATTTTTCACAATGCCATCTGTCAATAAATCATGTTTCAAATCGTTAATTTTATGTTCAATGTTGACTACACTTCCACTTCTGCTGTGGGAAAGTAAGTACAGTTATTCAGGATAAATGGATGCTCACAGTGAGTTAGTTGAGGCTTCAACTTATATCCAAAAACAAAGGAATTAGGATTGTGGTTTTTGCTTCAGAATATATATTCACAAAAGACATAAAATATATTTTTTCAGACAGTATCCTATAATACCTGAGGATAACTTTTAGTCTCACCCGACAATGTATGGGGAACACGATGACATATAAGGATAACTTTTAGCCTCGCCTACAGTTTTATTATATGCCTTTTACACTCAATGATAAAGAATCATTGACTGCCTAGTAATCCTTACTTTTACCCTTGAATCGGATGATATTTGTCTCATTATATAATATGATATAGTAGTATTTTATAGACAGTCATAAATCTTATGAAATCAATAAATAATTTCAGCATTTCAATTAGTCAAAAAGACTATTTTCATCATAAGTCGCTGATATACTGTTTAGCTGAATGAATCTGTAGGAGTTCAAGATGTTCACAACACATATGGATATCTTTTTATAGTCTCTACTTATATTACCAGCCTGGACCTTGGATAATGCAAAGGATGGGCTTTACTCGAGGCTTTCAATCTTACTATTTTAAGAAACAAAACCTTTAGATATAGTCTTATTAACGAGTTCTTTCAATGTTCAAATAAGGAATCTGACAGTTACATATTCGTGGTTATCACTAATTTCAAGCATAAACAAGGATATAGGCTGTGGTGAACACCAAACCAGCCAGTAATAATCGGTTAAGATAGATGATTGTAGTAATGGTACTTTTGATTTCGCTTTGCTACATAGACCCGAATTGCTTGACCTCTCTTGATCACCATGATCAGAGGTCGAGCAATTTGGCACTGTATAGCAACCGGGAATTACAAATATCATTAGAATAACTGATACCCGTTGCACAACAGGTGGCTATCGTGCCCCAGTGGCGTAGTGGATAACGCTCTGGTATTTGAGGTGAAGGGTAGTGGGGTCGAGTCTCAGTGAGAACAACATCACTCACTGGGATGTAGGTACATCCAGTTGACGAGTCTCAAATAGCCCGAAACCCGTATCCTTGTTTCCTCTGCTAGTCACAAAAATCAGTATAAATTATTGTAGTTAATAATTTGTTACAGATGATCGATGGGTAATTGGTCGTCTTTTTAGATTGTTTTAACTAAGAGCATACATCAATCAGAACACAGTTTAATGATTGGGTAAAAAAAACAACAGTGGCTTGATGGTACCTCATCCCGACTGGTTGCAATGAGACCCATCCCTTCTGGCTCCGAATACAATGAGGAGTAAAAACGTAGACATTAATTGACTTACTAGTGATAGATAGTAGCTAGCATTGGAATCCACAATGCTCACTCCGTCCTATTTGGGACTAACCAGTGAGCGAAGTTGTTCCTGCCAGGACTCGAACTTAGGACCGACCGCTCCAAGCCCAAGGGCGTTATCCACTAGACCATTGAGTTCATGATACTTGTATTATCCCGTCGTTGAGTAGAACGAATTGATTGATCTCTACTGATATATGGGCTCCTGCACGATAATAAGTAGTGAGTGTTGTACAGGTATCAGATAATAGTTGGATCACATTGGTGTAGATTGTTGATCATTCTAGTTCATAAGAAAGTAATCAGGTAGACTAATATAATATCTGAGATTTCATTAGAATACCCAGATGTTACTACCTATCATTTTTCTTAGAAAAGTCTGTTAATTCCTAAACTAAGCTATCAAACTTATTTCGTCAAATAATAAGTCTCCTCAACTGCAGTCATTCATCATTGTAGAATATTTCAGCCTCTAGGTGTACTATTAAATATCACTATACCATTATTTCATTATTTAGCATCAACTAAGTGTACTTATAGCTGTATTACATTATGATAATCTTCACCCTTGAACTCATTCAATTATAACATCACCTTGTCATCATTTTTGCCAGTTTTTTTCCTCTTTTACTTATACATTTCTTTTCTACCATTTTTTTTCATCTGTATGTTATATAGAATTAAAAAAATTGAAAATTGCTCTGATGGATTTGAAACGTTCTTCTCTATTCTTCCCTGGTGCCAGAGTAATCAAAGATATTTTATGTAAAATTTTAAGTATTTGTCCTGATTTAGATGGATAATATATAAAAGCTACTTGTTGTCTATCTCTTGTGTGTGTACGTGTGTGTGTGTAGACGTGACCACACAGTAGGTAGATAATCATTCATAGAGAAATTTTTTTCATTTCAGTTTCTTTCATTATTCATTGCTATGTAACATTATCTTGTCATATGGTTTTCTTCTTAAAAGTTACATTATTGTATTACACTGTTATTTCATAGCTCTCACCACATATATATCAGCATATATATATATATATATATATATATATATATATATATATATATATATATATATATGATAACGGTTCGTTTGTCATCTTTATCTTACATTCAAGTGAGTTTATTGAAGCCATTTTGTCAAATTATTTTTGCTTGTTACACAATTAGTTGTTATTGTTGTTTTTTTAAACAGCATTTCAATTATTACAATAAGAATTGAAAAAAAAGAGAGAAAATAATATATATTTATATGCATATTCGTCTTAGTGATTAGCAGCAGGATTCAGATGCACGTTTCGTCCTACTTGAGACTCGTCAGCTGGATATACCTGCGTTCCAGTGAGTGATGTTGTTCTCACTGAGACTCGAACCTTGTAAATGTCAATTCAAATGCCAAAGTGTTATCCACCAAATCACTGAAGCATGATAGCCACCTCTTATACAATGGGTATTAGTTATTAGTATTTGTTGATAAACTTGTAATTCTCTGTTGTTATACTGAATTGGATTGTTCCACCTCTGTTGGAATATGGACTCCTATGCGAATGCCTCGACATTGTGATAATTTACTTGGTTTGTGGCTAGCAGATGGACTCAGGATGCCCGTTTCGTTCTATATGAGACTCATCAGTTGGGTGTACCTGTACTCCAGTGAGTGGTGTTATTCCCATTGCTAGCCACACCAAGGTCAATTATAACAATAAATATTCAGGCAATATCGAGGCACCCGCATAGGGTCCCAGATACCCGAGGTCGAACAACCCACTCCAGTAAAACAAAGGAGAATTACAAGTGTATCAGTGAAGTGATACCTGTTAAAATAATGGTCATGAATGAAGCTTGATATTCAAGGTATAAACTTCCCAACTGGTTAGTAACTTAATCTCAAAAAAAACCTACCAGTCTTTTCAGTTAATTAGAAATACTACTGATAAAGATGGTCAGTGATAGCCGAATCTCATTATGAAATATTCATGAGTATAGAATTATCTTCCTAACAGCTTTAAGGAGCTCAAAGTTTAAAACTTTCATGAACAATTTTATATGAAGTATAAACAAGATATAACCGAACAGTATAGCAAATATTGGGTGCTGAGTAAAACGTTAACATTAGATGTAGTCTATATTTGCGTATTTAAAATAAAATAATTTCAACGTTTCGCACACAAGTTTGGTCCGAGCCTCTTCTTCTTCAGAGGAATAGTCAAAAATTAGGATATCAAAGATATATAAATGAGGAAGTATTTATCATGGACTGAAATCAGTTTGAGAATCATTGAAAACCTGTGAGCACTGGACATCTGTTTCGTCCTAGTATGGGACTCCTCAGCAGTACGCACCCGCGAACTTCGGATTTCACGGCGAACGCGCTAGCCATTCAGCCACTGGGTCCCCTTATAACCCGACTATCACCCAAGGACTTTTTATAAATGGATTGGAAGGCGTGTACGTAATCTCCTCCAATCCTCTTCGTGTATTTATTGTTCCCTAAAGTATAACTAGTAATCATTCAGTGTGAATTTGTATGTCTCTTGTTGTATGGTTAACGTATATATATATATATATATATATATATATATATATATATATATATATATATATATATATATACGCCTATTCTATTGTAAATGGGAGCAAAAAAGGTCACAGACGACATCATAGTCGTTCGTTGATTTCTATGAGTACAATAGGGCATATGAGGTAGAGATGTGTATCATTTTGGCTAGATGAATGGTATTCATAATTCGCAATATGATATCGGAAACAAAACTCTTTTCAAAAGAGCCCTCTTTACTGAATATCTTCTTTTGATGAGTGATATTAACGAATTATTATTGATTTGTCGGAATATAATGGAACTGAATGGTAATAATGATGCAGGTGACAATAATAATAATAGTTTATGATGTGATTATCTAAGATAGTCGTAGTTTGGCACACTAGTATTTGTACTGGGTGGTGATTGAAGGTGAGGTGAAAATCTGGACCGCTGCCGGATTCGACCACCGGGTTGCCGGTGCGGTACTCTACCAACTGAGCTACGATGTCCTACTGCTCACTAGAATTTTATTTCACTTCAATCACAAGCGGGTTTTGCCCGACTACCATATGAATTTGTGATGCGTTACTACCGCTTGATCGTATTCACACTGGCTGCCTTGGTGATTGAAGTAAAATAAAATTCTGGTCAGCATTCAGACATTGTAGCTCAGTTGGTACAGCACCGCACCGGTAAACCGGTGGTCGCTGGTTCGAGTCCGGCCGCGGTCCAGATTCTCATCTCACCTTCAATCATTACCCAGTAGAAATAATAACAGCTTTATTCCAAACAAGATTTCCAATACAGTATGGAATTCTCAACATGTAATAAATGACTAGATTAGCGTCTGATGTTTATTGGTGGTAGTTCATCCAGCTAGTAGAATGTGGTACTATTAGAGGCAGTTGTCCAAAGGAATAATGACGTTTTTCCTTCATTTTGATATTACTTCGAAAAACGACTAGTTAAGATACATTTTAAACATTTCCAAGCGTATGTTATATGTTTGGAGGATATATATATATAAAGAGGAATTCAATATATCTGGTAGAAAGTTTCATTGGTACCCTAAAGTTTAAGCAGGCAGCGATAAGAGTGAAAACGATACACATTAAAAATGTAGTTTTTCGAGTTGAATTTTTATCCTCCATAAACAGTATTCTTCCCCATAAACATAATTAAAATAATAAATAACGCAAACCTTTAAATGTATCATGATCAGAGTTAGTAAGAACGACTAATAAAGGCTGATTGCTCATGAAAAAGGATGCATCAGATTAGTAGAAATACAGTTAACAAGTGAGACTTGCTTAATTTATCGATACACTGTGGTAAATGTTATAAGTCTGTGAATAATAACCGAGAAGTAATTATCTAAAGGCATAAAGGGAACCAATTGTAAAAATGAATCATAAATATAATGAAAACAGTAAGGTATAAGCATAGTTAGATAATAAAAATGGTTTCAAGGTGTAGTAATCATCATCACAAATTGACATTAATTAGAGGGGCATTGGAAACCTGAGAACACTGGATATCTGTTTCGTCCTAGTATGGGACTCCTCAGTAGTATGTATCCACAACCCCACTAGAATGCTTGTAGATTGCAGTTGAAGCTTGGATGATGGAGATTCACTTAGTGTATAGACTCTTAAGGGATTCACTATGACGCAAGTCAAACCAGATGCAGAGTATTTAACAGTTAGAGCTAATTTTTTTTACGAAGACATTTTTCCATTCACTTTCTGTTATGTTTTCGAAGCGCCAATAGTTATATATATATATTCCAGGACGAATATAATACGCGCGCTTAGCTGACAGCTAACTTGGTACGCAAGAGACACTGACTGCAACCCCGAGATGAATAGAGAGAAGACCGAAGCTGAATGATGGGAGAGTGTATTACTCCGAGAATATAATATAATAACAAATCAATCCAAAACACGTGAATAAGCATACACATGAAAAATGATCTTGTCCTCAATTTGAGGTATCTGCATAGTAAGAGTGAAGATTAACCAATTAGCGATTTACATTACAATGGGGGCAGAAAATAGACTATTAGTCATACCGTATAAAATGGTCTGGAAATGTTCAGAACAATGTTTTACACAAAATTGGGGCATCACAACACTTTCACATTCAGAAGTAGTATTCATCATGGACTGACATCAGTTGGGGAACCATTGGAAATCTAGGAGCACTGGACAGCTGTTTTGTCCCATACTAGGACGAAACAGCAGTACGCACCCACGACCCGGCTAGGGGTCGAACTCAGGACCTTCAGATTTCACGGCGAACGCGTTGACCATTCAGCCACTGGGTCGGTTTCCGGTGGTTCACAATTTCCAACTTCTTTCATATTCAATAAGTAGGTGAAACTAATTTATACAGTTTACGATTATTTTCTCTCATTGTAGAGTTTCGAGTAAGATCCTTATTTTTAATATCTAAGCAATTCCTACCCAAATGTTAGCTCGTTTAGACCGGTTAGTTGTTTTCAGCCCTCTTTGGTGAGTATGGTTCTCATTCTGTATTGTCATAGCACGAATCATGCGATGAGGAAGTGTGTTGTAATATGTGATAAGAAACTTTCGGTTGAAATTAATCTCTATGCTAAAATCTCTTACTACTTAACTATTTGGGGTCAACTCCAAACAATTCATATCTCTCATTGATCATGTTCCCACTCCATCATTAGATCAGGATGAAGTGATGTATAATTTATTTTGTAATGTAGCCTATCTGTGTGATACTATACGCTTGTATCCGTCTTAAATGTTACATAGACTAATCCCCTCAAATCGTAAATTCTTATAAGGAACTCACAATAGACACATTTCTCTTCCGATTTGTCGATAGCAAACCTTATACGTCAATTAGTTACCGATTCTATATGAGCGTTAAGAAAATAGATTTTATCATTTCACATTTAGAAGTAGAATCCGGTTGTTTTTCAACTTCAATCGTGGGTTCGAACTATAAGCGTTAGGGTGGATAGTAAAAATATCATTTGTGTGTCTTTTGTACCCTAGAAACTAAATGAATACGGGCTCAAAGTCATCTTCAAAACTAATGGAAAGCGTAATTTGTCAGCAGCAAATCATAGAGAAAACCACCGACAGCAATTTTATCACTTTTTTGATTTACTTACATATTGAATGGATCATATTTGCATTACTGAATGAAATTGATTAGTCACTAGAGAGTGCCAATCGGATTCTGTCGATCAATTTTGAATGTGGCCACTAAGTTAGCAGGCTGAACATCACACTGCACTTTGATGAATGTTAGTCGGTTGGAGGCAATCGGGAGGAACTCTTGACTGGACCTAGGTTTCAGCAAGGCATATCTGCAACCTCAGTGGTGGTAACGTCTCTAATTACAACAATGGACGACACGGATTCGAATCTCACCGGGGACATCATTCCCCTCAAAGTTCCAGACACACCTTGCTGATGACGACCAAAAAACATGAAACTTAGGTCCAGCCAGGACTTCCTGCCGATTGCTTTCAACTAATTAAAATTAAGTAGATGATTACTTTCGTTTTTTATTAATACGATGATTTCATTATCTTCTTCCTATTCACATCACGTTACTCTCTAGGCAAAATATACCATGATGGGAAACATATGATGATGAGTACAATCAGCCAGAAGTCAGTATGTTTTTTTAGACTGAAAGTGAATAATTTATGTTTTAATAGCAAGAT